TCATTCGACTGTCTGGCCTAATTAGCATATTACACTTTCATTATTACAGATGCGTCTGATGGGAGCGCCTGGTGTTCCCCGTGATCGGAGCCTGCGGTGACTACAGCCCTGATACTCTCTAATAATAAACGGGTAATATGCTAATTAGACTGGACGTCCTTCCAGACGACCTTCCGGACGAAGCCGGGCCTATGAGGGAAGCCTCAGTCTCGGGTGCGAGGGAAGCCGGTGCCGGCAGCCGGGGGAAGGAGGGCCTGCTCTTGCACGGATTTCGTGCACCGGGCCTCTAGTTGTACTGATCACGCTGAACAACGCTGACAGCCCACTGTGCTCTTACTAAATGATAAAAAAAAATCTATTATTTATCATTATTATTACTGCCATTATCATTTTTTAAAATATATATTTTTATAGATTTCAAAGAGAGGAAGGGAGAGAGAGAGAAACATCAGTGATGGGAGAGAATCACGGATCGGCTGCCTCCTGCACGCCCCCCACTGGGGATCCAGCACGCAACCCGGGCCTGTGCCCCGACCGGGACTCGAACCCTGACCTCCTGGTTCCTAGGTCGACGCTCAGCCACTGAGCCCCGCCCGCTGGCCGCCTCCCTCAGTTTCAACACACCCGGTTTTAGAGTTAAGTCTTCCTCGTGGCTGGTCTGGTACAGGGTGCCGCCAGCTTCCTTTCTGGAAGGATCCGCCTGCCTTCGCCCGACGGCAGACGCCATTCCTAACAGGTTCCCTGCTCGCTCAGGGTCGCAGCCTCCCAGCACTCCCCCCTCGGTGGCCTGGCCGGCCCCCCTGAGACCACAGAGCGGGGCTGTCAGGCCGTTCCCTCCAGCAGGTCCAGGGAAGCCACTCCCTGCTCCTCCCGGAGAGACCCACACGGGGCAGGCCACTCGCCACGGACAGACGCTCTGACGGCCCGGGGTCCCCAGCCGCCGTCCCCGGACGGACGGGTTTTCCTGTTCCGATCCCGCAAAGCCACACGGACGTCGTGACACGGCCCCGCGTGCTGACACATTCCAAACGCCGCTGGGACCGAACCCGTGTTTCCACGGCACAAAGGGACCGTGTGGGGTTCACGACACACCGGGGGGCCGACCACAGCGTCCGGTCCAAACACGGAATCGCTACATGCGTGTTTAATGGGTGATGGCTGGCTGGTCCAATGAATGAATGAATGAATGAATGAGAGGATGGAATCTTAAGTCCGGTCCAAACACGGAATCGCTACATGCGTGTTTAATGGGTGATGGCTGGCTGGTCCAATGAATGAATGAATGAATGAATGAATGAATGAATGAATGAGAGGATGAAATCTTAAGTCTTTCCTCATCTGCCTTTGGCACTCAGGCTATGAGTCTCTTATTTATCAGTGGTGAACGGAACCACGAATACCCCATCTCTCTCCTTGCCCTAGATCAGTGGTCGGCAAGCTGCGGCTCGAGAGCCACATGCGGCTCTTTGGCCCCTTGAGTGTGGCTCTTCCACAAAATACCGACTTCTGCGCATGCGCCACGAAGTTTCAATCGCACTGTACGTGTGGGCCCGCACATGGTATTTTGTGGAAGAGCCACACTCAAGGGGCCAAAGAGCCGCATGTGGCTCGCGAGCCGCGGTTTGCAGACCACGGCCCTAGATTAAAACGTTTCATCGGGCCCTGGTCGGTGTGGCTCAGTGGATAGAGCATCAGCCTGCGGACTGAAGGGTTCCAGGTTCGATTCCACTCAGGGCCCGTGCCTGGGTTGTGGGCTCGACACCCAGTGCAGGGCGTGAAGGAGGCAGCCGGTCCATGATTCTCTCTCATCATGGATGTCTCTATCTCTCTCTCCCTCTCCCTTCCTCTCTGACATCAATAAAAATATAGCCCCAGCTGGATTGGCTCAGCGGATACAGCATCGGCCTTCGGACTGCAGTGTCCCAGGTTCGAGTCCAGTCAAGGGCACATATCCGGGTTGCGGGCTCGATCCCCAGTGCAGGGCGTGCAGGAGGCAGCCGGTCCGTGATTCTCTCTCATCATGGATGTTTCTCTCTCTCCCTCTCCCTTCCTCTCCGAAATCAATAAAAATATATATTTTTTTTAAAGATACAAAATGTGTTTCTTACTGTGGGAGTCGCAATCCAAAGAGTCTGAGGCCCCAGCTGGGTAGCGTAGTCGGTTAGAGCATCGTCCCAATACGCCAAGGTCATGGGTTCGATCCCCGGTCACAGCACACACAAGAATCCCGACACACACACAAGAATCGACCAGTAAATGCAATAATAATAATAAAATAATAATAATAATAATAATATCTTTAAAATGTGTGAAACGCCCAGGACAGAGGTCAGGTAAGGTTTCTTCGAATCCTTAGACCCTCCCCTCTGACGGGCGTGCCTGGCAGTCGAGGTAGGCGTTCCGGCTTAACCTTAAACAAACCGTGGGCAGAATGTAGATACCTCGTCAGATAATTCAAAACGAAACCCTGTTCCAGAACCACGCCCTGCGTTCAACTGAGCGTGACCCGGCCTCCGGGAAGTCGCTACGCCTCACAGATGTTGTCACGCGGACACACCTGCCTACGCGGGCCAAAGGGCGGGCCTGGTCCCCGACGGGCGTCCATTTCCGTGCGGACGCTCAGGTAGGGAGGGACAGGGTTCCACGGGCATCTTATTATAAAACCCACTCAAGGAAGAGCTTCACTGTGTCAAATAAAAAAGCCTAATGCCAAACCCTTATTTTATACACACACACACACACACACACACACACACACACACATACTAGAGGCCCGGTGCACAAATTTGTGCACAGGTAGGGTCTGGCCGGCCCAGCCCCTGATCGGGGTGGGGGAGGCGATTGGAGGTGGGGGTGGCCGGGGGGAGGGGCTGCGGGCGGTTGGCCAGCAGGCTTCGTCCCCTGGTCAAACTTCCTGTCGAACTCCTGGTCAAGGGGACAATTTCCATATTAGCCTTTTATTATAAGGGTTGATGTCAGAGAGGAAGGGAGAGGGGGAGAGAGAACATCCACAATGAGAGAGAATCATGGATCGGCTGCCTCCTGCATGCCCCCCACTGGGGATCGAGCCCGAAACCCAGGCCTGTGCCCTGACCGGGAATCGAACCCTGACCTCCTGGTTCCTAGGTCGACGCTCAACCACCGAGCCACGCCAGCCGGGCCCGAACCCTTCCTTTTAATACCTCCGTCACCGACAGCAAATTCCAGCACCCCACAGACCCTGTGTAAAACCTACCTTTGAGCCCTAGCTGGTGTGGCTCAGTGGGTAGAGCGTCGGCCTGCGGACTGAAGGGTCCCGGGTTCGATTCCAGTCAAGGGCACATGGGCCCGGGTTGTGGGCTCGATCCCCAATAGGGGGCGTGCAGGAGGCCGCCGGTCCATGAGTCTCTCTCATCCAGGTGTTTCTCTTTCTCCCTCCCTCTCCCTTCCTCTCTGACATCCACATAAATATATTTGAAGAAAAAACAACAAACACCTTCGACACCCTTTCCCGGAACAGGTGGCTCTGACCGACCTGTGGATTCTCTGACTCAACGTATTTGCATACGACTTCCGTGTCCGCCCGGAAAAGCTGGGACCCGGCGAGACGGGACTTCAGAACTCGGAGAAGCAACCTGTGTGACATCTTAAGGACTTCCTGGTGGACAAGCCCTTTTTTCCCCCAGAACAGCAAAGGGTAACTAAGATATGAGCTTCTTTAGGCTCAGGAATGGGGACAGGGTCGTGGATAAGCCCGGCAAACACGTTTGATTTTTACTTTTATTTTTTTAAATATATTTGTATTGATGTCAGAGAGGGAGGGAGAGGGAGAGATAGAAACATCCATGATGAGGGAGAATCATGGACCGGCTGCCTCCTGCACGCCCCACACTGGGGATCGAGCCCGCAATCCGGGCCCATGCGCCCTTGACTGGAATCGAACCCGGGACCCTTCAGTCTGCAGGCCGGCGCTCTATCCATTGAGCCACACCGGCCGGGGCTCGGGAAACACATTTTAGAGAAGAGCCGTGTAGGGGCCCCGGCCAGGCCCCAGACGTGCTCTGCGACCCTGTCCCCTGAAGCTGTCCCTGCAGACACCCTCCTGGGTGTGCCCACCCATCACTGACCTCAGGCGGGAAAGGGCAAGTCACAGACAGAAAGGAAAAAAAATGGGCGCCGGGTGAAGTGACCGGCCCACTTTGAGCGGAGAATGGCACTCAAGTGTCCTGCTGGCCTGGCACGATGGCCCTCCACTGGAGCCTGGCCCGGCCAAGGCCCTCCCTCCACCAACACGTCCCCGTCCTCCTGCGGGTGCAAACCCAAGGCAAAGAGCACCCCCGAACCCTGTAAAACCCACAGGCACCCTGGGCTGCTGCCCAGGCTCAGGGAGGGCGCCAGGCGGCGGGCACCCCTTGCGTCCTGCCCACCAGGGCGCCAACTTCACACACCCCCAGGCCCTCCCGCTCTGCCCAGAGCCGCCCCGATGGTGCCGCCCCGCAGGGCACCGCACCCCCCTAACGCACAGCCTTTGGGGAGGTGGCCCATCTCACCCCTGAGCTTACCAGGAACCAGAGGTCTCCAGGCGCCCTGTGCCTGGCCCAAGGTCACGGGAGCCCCAGGGACCTTGTCTCCTGGCCGCCAGCTCACACACTCTCCACGCCAAACCAGTTTTCTCTCGGCCGGTACTTGAGCACCCCACGCGCCACTTGGGGTGACCAGAGACACAAAAGACCCAACCGCGGGGATGAAGGGGGACGGGGGCACCCAGATGTGCCCAAGCCTGCAAAACCCTCCGAACCTGGGCTCTCCAAGGACCCTCAGGGGTGGTGGAAAGGGTTGGGGGGTGGAAACCAGGCCAGGACGCACGAGGAGGCGAACGCACAGTCCAGGAGGGACCCCCCCACCCCCGCTACCCGACCCGACCCGTCTCCCCTCCTCGCACGCAGCCCAGCCCAGCCCAGCCCAGCCCAGGCCCGGCCGGGCCGGACCGCCCCCCACCGCGCGCGCCCCCGCGGGCTCACCGGGTGCGCAGCGCCTGCCAGGCGGCGTCGATGTCGGCGTAGAGGTTCTGCTCCGAGGGCCGGCCCGAGCTGACGCCGTAGCCCGAGTAGTCGTAGGAGAAGATGTTGCAGTTGATGCGCGAGCCCAGGCCGAGGTAGAAGCTGCACATCTGGCCCAGGTCCACGGCGTTGCCGTGCGAGAAGAGCAGCGTGTAGCGGCCGGCGGGCGCGCAGCGCACGAACATGCAGCCCAGCCGGTTGTCGCGGGCCGTGCGCGAGAAGAAGACCTCGACGGCGTCCAGCTCGCGCTGCGAGTACTGCCAGTCGGCGCGCTCGCTCAGGTGCAAGGAGCACGCGCCCGCGCCCTCCTCCGCCGCCGCCGGCCCCGGGGTGGCCGCGGGGGCCGGGGCGGCCGGGATCGGGGGCGCCGGGGCGGCCGGGGCGGCCGGGAGCGGGGCGGCCGAGGCGGCCGGGACCGGGCCGCGCTGCTCGGGCGCCAGCACCGTGTAGGTGGGCTCCGGCGGCAGGAAGGCCAGCTTGGCGGCGATGCGGCTCGGGCAGGGCGGGCAGCAGAAGAGCCAGCACAGCTCGCCCAGCGAGAAGCCGTTCATCCTGGGGCCGGGCTCGGGCATCGGGGCGGCTGGTCCACCCCCCCGCCGGCCGGGCAGGCGGGCAGGAGCGAGGCCGGGCGCGCGGGCGCGGGGAGCGCGCGGAGGGAGGCGGAGGCGGGGCGGGCGGGCGGGGCGGGGCGCGGAGGGGTCAGCGGAGGCCCCGCCGCCGCCGCCCCGGGGAGGCGTGGACGGCCCGGGCCCGCGCGCGGCGCACAAAGCCGGCGGCCATGGCGGAGGCGCCCCGATCCCCGCGCGCAACGCCCCCGCCCGCCCGCCCGCCCGGGCTCCCGCCACTTCCGGGGACCGCGCGGCGGCGCCACCCCCGGACGCGCTCAGGGCGCGCGCGCTCCCCGCCGGGGACCCGGCCGCGCGTGGGGCCGCCGGGAGGAGCCCAGGGCGTCCGCGGCCAGGGGGGCGGGTGGCCTCCGGGAGGACGGGGCCCCCCGCTGCCCGGCTTCTGGGGCTCCCGTCCCCCCCGATCCCCAAGTTCTGTGCGGCACGGAGGCCCTTGGGGATGTAGCCAAGCTGCGGCTGGGGGAGCGTGGGGAGGGCCTGCTGCTTTCCGGGCCGCCTCGGCCTCTGTCCCGGGAGGGGTGGGTCGTGGTGTCGTGGGGCCGGGCGGTCGTGGCTGTTCCCCTCCCGACAGGGTCCCCGAGTCAGGGGAAGGCAGGCGGGGCCGTGCGCGCCGAGCAGCCAGCCCCTCGCGCGCCCAGGCGCACGGGACACCCTGGGCGTGACTGCAGGCCCTTTGCCGGCTACTGGCACGCACCTCCACCGGGTTCGGGTCGTGGGTTTGAAGGGGTCTGAACCCCCAATAAGATCTCCTGCGGCGGCGATTTAAATCCACCGCGTGCGCCCCGGCCAGTCTGGCTCAGTGGCTAGAGCGCTGGCCCGTGGACTGAAGGGTCCCGGGTTCCATTCCAGTCAAGGGCACATGCCGGGGTTTCGGGTTTGGTGGAGGTGCGTGCAGGAGGCAGCCAACAGGTGGGTGTCAATAGCATCAACGTTTCTCTCCGTCTCTCCCCCTCTCTTACGCTCTCTAAAAATCAATGGGGAAAATTTCCTCGAGTGAGGATTAACAAATAATAGTAATAATAATAAAATAAAATGGAGACAACCTCATAAGGTAGTTATAAGCATGTTAAAACACTTAAGGCAGGGACTGGCCCAGCCTTTAAAAAATGAAATAAATTTCCCTGGCCGGTGTGGTTCAGTGGATAGAGCGGCGGCCTGCGGACTGAAGGGTCCCGGGTTTGATTCTGGTCAAGGGCATGGACCTTGGTTGCTGGCTCCATCCCCAGTAGGGGGTGTGCAGGAGGCAGCTGATCATGTTTCTAACTCTCTATCCCTCTCCCTTCCTCTCTGTAAAAAATCAATAAAATATATTTTTTAAAAAATAGGATAATATGACATGCAATAAACACTAATATCTCATAGGTGACTTTTTTACTCTAACCCAGTGCCTTGACCCTGAGCCTGCCCCGTGCCAACTGCCCGGGGCCCCCGTTCGCCCTCATCCCTCCTGGCCTGGCAGCCGAATTCCCTCTCAGGAAGAAGGGGCAGGAGGGACCCGCCTGGATCGCCGGCAGGGCGGCTGCAGACGGGGGAGCCGCCCAATCGCCTCTCTGGCCCTGCTGCTGTCACTCACAGACGCCCAGAGAATTAAATTAACTTTTATCGTGGCTCCTTCGGGAGGCCTCACCTACGTGAACTCGCCCACACTGATCTCAATAACCTGGGGGACCGGCCTCTCGAAGACCATTTCTTCATTAAAGTCATTCTGAGCTCGGCCGGCGTGGCTCCGTGGCTGAGCGTGGACCCAGGAACCAGGAGGTCAGGGTTCGATTCCCGGTCGGGGCACAGGCCCGGGTTGTGGGCTCCATCCCCAGTGGGGGGCGTGCAGGAAGCAGCCGATCCTTGATTCTCTCTCATCATTGACTAGAGGCCCGATGCACGAAAATTCCTGCAAGAGTTGGCCTTCCTTCCCCCGGCTGCCGGCACCGGCTTCTACTCCGGCCCCAGGACCTGGGCTTCCCTCCTCCCACCGCCCACAGGCACCCGGGACCCCGGCTGGCTCCCCCCCCCCCCCCTCCCCGGGCCCCAGCTTCCTCAGGAAGGACGTCTGGAATGACATCCGGTCTAATTAGCATAATATCCTTTTATGATGATCAGTAGATGTTTCTATCTCCCTCTAGCTCTTCCTTCCTCTCTTTAACTAACAAAAATATTTGTACTTTTTTATTTTTTATTTTTTTTAAATATATTTTGATTTTTTACAGAGGGAGGGAGAGGGATAGAGCGTTAGAAACATCGATGAGAGAGAAACATCCATCAGCTGCCTCCTGCACATCCCCACTGGCAACCAAGGCACATGCCCTTGACCAGAATCGAACCTGGAACCCTTGAGTCCGCAGGCCGACGCTCTATCCACTGAGCCACACCGGCCAGGGCAAATATTGGTACTTTTTTTAAAAAAGTGCTTCCCAGGTGCTCGTCCTCCCCAGGGTTCAGGACTCAGGGTCTCAGTGCACCTCTAACACATCCGCAAGCAACGGGCCTCAGGCTCGGACACGCAGCCGGAGAGAACAAATCTGCCCTGTGACCTACGAAAGGTCGGGGGACCTCGCCGCTCGCTTGGCCCTGACACAACCCTGCGTGGCTCCTCACATTCCAGGACAGGAAGGCGGTACAGGGCGTGGGGGTGAGCAAGCAGACTGACTAGGTCCTGGCCATGAGGCCGTCACTGAGCTGATGGGGGGCTGTCCCTCTGCCCCCCCACAAGCTCCCGGTGTGTGGTCTGCACCTTGGGAGAACTGCCTCCCGCTGGGCCAGCGGGGACTGGGAACTGAACACGTCCCGATTGGCCAAACGCATCGGTCTTTCCTATTCAAGGCCGGCCCCCCTGCCCCTGAACTCTGCCATCAGGACCCCTCAGCCTGGCGTTCAGTTGCTCAAGACAGCCTCGTTTTATTTATTTTTAGCTTATTTTCTTCTTTTGTGCAAATAAATTTATTTGGGTGCTTATTCGAAAGCAAACATGGTCACAGCAAGAAAGTTGGCAAGTGCAGAAAAACGTAAAGAAGGAATAGAAGTCACTGGTTAATTCCACCGTCCGGAGGGACGCTGGTGAGGCTGTTACTACCACCTGGGCTGGCGTGGGGGCAGCATACCTAGGTGGACAGGGCGCTTGACCAAGGACAATACAGGCATGCGGGGTTCCAGGTCAGACAAGACCGCCTCCTTTAACAAACCCTATAGCATAAAAGGCTCATATGGAAATTGGCCGAACGACAGAACGACCGGTTGTTATGATGTGCACTGACCACCAGAGGGCAGACGCTCAACGCTAAGCCGGGCTCACAGCTGGCATCACAGGAGGCATCTCCCGCCTCCGCAGCAGCACTAAGAATGTCCAACCTCAGTGCTGTAGGGAGCGGGCCTAAGCCAGCAGTCGGACATCCCCCCCCAGGGGCTCCCGGTCTGTGAGAGGGCACAGGACGGGCTGAGGGACCCCCCCCCCGCCCCGAGTGCACAAATTTCGTGCACCAGGCCCCTAGTATATCTACACTAATAAAAGAGAAACATGCAAATTGGTGTCACTCTGGTACACCCACCAGCCAATCAGGATGAGTATGCAAATTAACCCAACAAAGATGGCGGTTAATTTGCATATACAGGCATGGAGCGAAGACTGAAGAGGCTTGGCTTCTCTGCCGAGGTCGGAGCGAAGGCCTGGGTCCCGGGTGCGGGAGGAAAACCGGTGCTGGCAGCCAGGGGAAGGGAAGGCCTAGTGCACGAGTCTCTTTGTGCAACGGGCCTCTAGTATGCGTATATTCTTTAATTGATTTCAGAGAGGAAGGGAGAGGGAGAGAAACATCAATGATGAGAGACTCATTCATAAGCTGCCTCCTGCACGCCCCCCACTGGGGATGGAGCCCACAACCCGGGCCTGTGCCCCGACCGGGAATCGAACCCTGACCTCCTGGTTCCTAGGTCGACACACAACCACTGAGCGACATGGGCCGGACAAGACCATCTCCTTGTATAAGGTAACACCAAGTCAGCCATAAGCAGAATACAATTTTTTTTTTTTATCCTCACCCCAGGACATGTTTTCATTGATTTTAGAGAGAGAGGAAGAGAGAGAGAAACATCAATTGGGTGTCTCCTGTACACGCCCTGACTAGGGGCCGAACCCACCACCTTTTGGAGTATGCTCCAACCATTGAGCCACCCGGCCAGAGCAAGAATGCTTCCTTTCCTTTTATTTTTCTTAATTGATCTCAGAGAGGAAGGGAGAGGGAGAGGAAGAGAAACATCCATGATGAAAGAGAATCATGGGTTGGCTGCCTCCTGCACACCCCCCACTGGGGATGGAGCCTGCTCCCGGGCCTGTGCCCTGACCGGGAATCGAACCCTGACCTCCTGGTTCCTAGGGCGACGCTCATCCCCTGAGCCGCGCCGGCCGGGAGCTTGCTTCATTTTTTTTTTAACCGCAAGAGAAGGACATTCGTGCTCACAAACGGAACCGGTTGTTTAGATGGAAGGTCAGACAATCTGGGGTACACTCCCCTGCCTGGTGCTTGTTTTTATGTAGGACGGGCTGCTCTGGGAAGGCACGGACGCCGGACGCCGGGTAAGTATACGTTAGGCGGGCAAATGAAAGAGGATGAGGGGTGCGGGGTGGGGCGTGCACAGGAGGCCAAGCTGGCTCCGTCCCGGGGTGAGGAGGAGGCAGAGCAGCCCAGGCGAGTGCCAGCAGCACGGGGCGTGAGTCATCCGCGCACGGCCTCCGGCTGAGCTGTGGCCTCGTCCGATCTCTCTCTCCTTTTTTTTTTAAAAAAAAATATTTTATTGATTTTTTACAGAGAGGAAGGGAGAGGGATAGAGAGTTAGAAACATCGATGGGAGAGAAACAGCGATCAGCCGCCTCCAGCACGCCCCCTACTGGGGATGTGCCCGCAACCCAGGTACATGCCCTTGGCCGGAATCGAACCCGGGACCCTCCAGTCCGCAGGCCGACGCTCTATCCACTGAGCCACACCAGCCAGGGCTCTCTCTCCTTTTTTTATTAGATATATACTAGGGGCCCGGTGCACGCAATGTCTGACTGCTGGTTTAGGTTCGATCTGACAGGGACATACTTTAGTAGGACATACCTCTCGCTATCAGGGATCGCTGGCTCCTAACCACTTTGCCTGCTCTCCTGCCTGCCTGATCGCCCCTAACCACTCTGCCTGCCTGCCTGATCACCCCTAACCGCTCACCTGCCTGCTTGATCATCCCTAACCACTCTGCCTGCCTGCCTGCCTGATCACCCCTAACCACTCACCTGCTTGCCTTCCTGATCACCCCTAACCGCTCACCTGCCTGCCTGCCTGATCACCCCTAACCACTCACCTGCCTGCCTTCCTGATCACCCCTAACCGCTCACCTGCCTGCCTGCCTGATCACCCCTAACCGCTCACCTGCCTGCCTGCCTGATCACCCCTAACCGCTCACCTGCCTGCCTGCCTGATCACCCCTAACCGCTCACCTGCCTGCCTGCCTGATCACCCCTAACCGCTCACCTGCCTGCCTGCCTGATCACCCCTAACCGCTCTGCCTGCCTGCCTGATTGCCCCTAACCACTCTGCCTGCCTGATCACCCTAACCGCTCACCTGCCTGCCTGCCTGATCACCCCTAACCGCTCTGCCTGCCTGCCTGATTGCCCCTAACCACTCTGCCTGCCTGATCACCCCTAACCGCTCACCTGCCTGCCGGCCTGATCACCCCTAACCGCTCACCTGCCTGCCTGCCTGATCACCCCTAACCGCTCTGCCTGCCTGCCTGATCACCCCTAACCGCTCACCTGCCTGCCTGCCTGATCACCCCTAACCGCTCACCTGCCTGCCTGCCTGATCACCCCTAACCGCTCTGCCTGCCTGCCTGCCTGATCACCCCTAACCGCTCTGCCTGCCTGCCTGATTGCCCCTAACCACTCTGCCTGCCTGATCACCCCTAACCGCTCACCTGCCTGCCTGCCTGATCACCCCTAACCGCTCACCTGCCTGCCTGCCTGATCACCCCTAACCACTCTGCCTGCCTGCCTGATCGCCCCTAACCACTCGCCTGCCTGCCTGATCGCCCCTAACCACCTCTGCCTCAGCCCCCACTGCCATGGCTTCATCTGGAAGGACGTCCAGAATGACATCCAGAAGATTGTTCACTGTCCAATCTAATTAGCGTATTATGCTTTTATTATTATAGACTAGAGGCCCGGTGCACAAAAATTTGTGCACTCGGGGGGAAGGGGGGGTCCCTCAGCCCGGCCTGTGCCCTCTCGCAGTCTGGGACCCCTCGGGAGATAACGACCTGCTGGCTTAGGCCTGCTCCCGGGTGGCAGAGGGCAGGCCCAATCCCTAGGTGCAGCCCCTGGTCGGGCTCAGAGCAGGGCCGATTGGGGAGTTGGGGTGCCGCCCCCTGTCATGCACAGAGCAGGGCCGATTGGGGAGTTGGGGCGCCGACCCCTGTCATGCACAGAGCAGGGCCGATTGGGGAGTTGGGGTGCCGCCCCCTGTCATGCACAGAGCAGGGCCGATCGGGGAGTTGGGGCGCCGACCCCTGTCATGCACAGAGCAGGGCCGATCGGGAGGTTGCGTTGCCACCCTCAGTCACGCTCAGGGTAGGGCCGATTGGGGGGTTGGGGCACCGCCCCCTGTCACACTCAAGGCAGGGTCGATGGGCAGATTGCGGCGCCACCCCGTCTTGCACAGAGCAGGGCCAATCAGGGGGTTGGGGAGCTCCCCCCGTCACTCACAGAGCAGGGCCCATCAGGGGGGTTGGGGCTCCATACCCTGTCACGCACAGAGCAGGGCCCATCAGGGGGTTGGGGAACTCCCCCCTGTCATGCACAGAGCAGGGCTGATCAGGGGGTTGGGGAGATCCCCTGGTCACTCACAGAGTAGGGCCGATAGGGGAGTTGGGGCACCGCCCCCTGTCACACACAGAGCAGGGCGGATCAGGGGGTTGGGGCTCTGCCACTGTCACACTCAGGGAAGGGCCGATGGGGAGGTTATGGCTCTACCCCGTCACACACAGAGCAGGGCCCGGGGGGCGGGGGGGGTTGGGGCGCTGCCCCCTGTCACACACAGAGCAGGGCCGATCAGCGGGTTGGGGCGCCACACCCTGTCACACACAGAGCCGCAGGGCGATCAGGGGGTTGGGGAGCTCCCCCTATCAGGCACAGAGCAGGGCTGATCAGGGGGTTGGGGCGCCTTCCCCTGTCACGAACAGAGCAGGGCCAATAGGGAGGTTGTGGCCCCGCCCCCTGTCATACACAGAGCCGCAGGGCGATCAGAGGTTGGGGAGCTCCCCCCTATCAGGCACAGAGCAGGGCTGATCAGGGGGCTGGGGCGCCTTCCGCTGTCACGAACAGAGCAGGGCTGATAGGGACGTTGTGGCCCCGCCCCCTGTCACACACAGAGCCACAGGGCGATCAGGGGGTTTGGGCGCTGCCCCCTGTCACGCTGATCCCGGTGCTGGGAGGCATATTACCCTTTTACTATATAGGACAGAGGCCTGGTGCATGGGTGGGGACCGGCTGGTTTGCCCTGAAGGGTGTCCTAGATCAGGGTGGGGGTCCCCACTGGGGTGCCTGGCCAGCCTGGGTGAGGGGCTGAGGGCTGTTTTCAGGCTGGGGGTGACTGAAGCTCCCAACTGCTCCTTTCTTTCTTATTTTTTTTTTATTCTGGGCCAGCTTTAGCTTTGAGGCTTGACTCCAGCTCTTAGGCCTCCGCTGCTGAAAGCAGGTTTCTGGCCTTTGTTTACCTTCTGTATTTGAAACAATGTTGCAATCCTGCTGGCTGAAGCCCGGTGGACTAAAGCAGGTTTCTGGGGGTTTGTTTAGCTTCTATATTTGTAACATAGTTGCTTAGACTTGCAGCTCAGAGGCCGGCAAGCCAGGCGGGGAACATTGGAGTCCTCCGTCACTGAAGCAAGCAAGCCTCAGTTCACTTTAAGCTGCCTGGCTGTCGGCTGCCATCTTGCCTGGCAGTTAATTTGCATATCGCCCTGATTAGCCAATGGGAAGGGTAGCAGTCATACGCTAATTACCATGTTTCTCTTTTATTAGATAGGATTTTTGAGGGAGGAGGGGGTGTTGATTTTGTATCCTGTGATGCTGCCAACTTCATTTATTAAATCTAGTACTTTTTGGTGGAGTCTTTAGGGTTTTCTTGCTTTCTTTTTTTTTTTAAATCCTCACTTGAGGATATTTTTTCATTGATTTTCAGAGAGAGTGGAACAGACAGGGAAAGACAGAAACATTGATGTGAGAGAGACACATCGATTGGTGCCTCCTGGCCCTGCCGGGGAAGGCCCTGCAACAGGGTCTGTGCCCTGACCGGAATCGAACCCGGACCCTTCGGTCCACAGGCCAGTGCTCTACCCACGGAGCCACACCGGCCAGGGCTGTTATATACATTTTTATTGACTTCAGAGAGGAAGGGAAAGGGAGAGAAACATCAATGATGAGAAACATCAATGATGGACCAGCTGCCTCCTGCACGCCCCCTACTGGACATCGAGCCCAAAGCCGGGCCTGTGCCCTGACTGAGAATCGAACCGTGACCTCCTGGTTCATGTGTCGAAGCTCAACCACTGAGCCACACCGGCCGGGCCCCCATCTCTCTTCCTAACACGCTCAGGCTGTGTCTGGGTGTCCACGGGCCCAGTTATGATGCCGGCTGTGAGGATGGCCACCCAACACGGTTCTGGCCACCAGTCTCCCAGTGGAAGCTTCCGGAAAGATCAACAGGCCCAGCCTCCTCCGTCATGTCTCCCGGGGTTCCCACTTGGGATGCAGGCGTTGTTTCTGGAGCTCCAGCAGCCACCTGGCAACCACGAGGGCGAGTCCCATCGTCAGAGACGACGAAGAGAGAACAGCACGCGTTCGATCCTCCGTGGTGAGTCGGGGAGCTGCCTGCCCGGCCGGCCTTCGTCTGGGCTCCGTGTGATGCGAGAAAAAGAAGTCCCTTTACGTCCCCGTCTTCTGGTGTCCAGCTCCCTGCGGCCTCTAAGGCCGCGATGACGGATCTGATTCCGGGATCAAAGGCGCAGGATCTCACATTGGCCGACACCGTTTCCCAACAGGGACGAAGGACGTGTGTGGCTGGACCGTGGGACAGTTAGGCCTGCATTCCACCTGCTCCCCCAGAGAGAAATATTGAATTATTACTGGAGGCCCGGTGCACGAAATTCGTGCACGAGGGTGAGGGGGTCCCTCAGCCCGGCCTGCACCCTCTCGCAATCCAGGACCCCTCGGGGGATGTCCGACTGCCGGTTTCGGCCCGATCCGGCAGTCAGACATCCCTCTCGCAATCTGGGACTGCTGGCTCCTAACTGCTTGCCTGTCTGTCTGCCTGATCGTCCCTAACCCCTCTGCCTACCTGATCGCCCCTAACCCCTCTGCCTGCCCGCCTGATCACCCCTAACCCCTCTGTCTGCCTGATCGCCCCTAACCCCTCTTCCTGCCCGCCTGATCGCCCCTAACCCCTCTGTCTGCCTGATCGCCCCTAACCCCTCTGCCTGCCCGCCTGATCACCCCTAACCCCTCTGTCTGCCTGATCGCCCCTAACCCCTCTGCCTGCCCGCCTGATCACCCCTAACCCCTCTGTCTGCCTGATCGCCCCTAACCCCTCTGCCTGCCCGCCTGATCACCCCTAACCCCTCTGTCTGCCTGATCGCCCCTAACCCCTCTGCCTGCCTGATCACCCCTAACCCCTCTGCCTGCCCACCTGATCGCCCCTCACAGCCTCTGTCTCAGCCCCCGCTACCACGGCTTCGTCCGGAATGATGTCCGGAAGGTCGTTCGGCTGTCTGGTCTAATTAGCATATTATGCTTTTATTATTATAGATGCCTGCGGAGCGGAGAGGTTCTCGAGGCGATATCTGTGAAACAACCGCATCTGAAATGCAGGGGAGAAAAGCGTGCCCTTCAGAAAGAGGGTGAACAGCACCTGGAGGCTCTTGGGGGGCGGGGGTCCGTGTCCGTGTTCACTGGGGTGAGGGGCCTGCCATTCAACCAAGACCTTTTGTTGGCAAAATAGCTTTTCCCCCAGAACCTTTCTCAGCCTCAGGGCTCTTATCAAACGTGTTGTAAGAAGGAGGTTAGCGGAGGGGTGAGGGGGACGACAGCGCCCCGCGCAGGGAAAGGCAGAGAGTGCAGTAGGGCGGGGGGGGGGGGGTATAAAACCCCAGCCGCCCACACGCAGCGTCCCAAGTCCCACCCGCCACACGGAGGTCCCCCAACCTGCACGTCTTCCTCGTCCCATCCTGCCACCTGCTCGCGGATTCCGAACGGGAGGCCCGGTGCCCCTGAAACCGATCACAGCCCCCCACTGGGGATGGAGCCCGCCACCCGGGCCTGTGCCCTGACCGGGGATCGAACCCTGACCGCCTGGTTCCGAGGTCGACGCTCAGCCACTGAGCCACGCCGGCCGGGCTGTTTTTAATTTTAAATATTTCTTGATTTGAGAGAAAGAGAGAGAGAGAGAAAGAGAGAGAGAGACATCAATTTGTTGTCCACTTATTGGCTGATTCATGTACGTGCCATTGGTATATCGAGATGATGCTCTGACCAACTGAGCCACCCGGTCAGGGCCCAAAACCCCATTTTATTTATTTAAAAAAATTTTTTAAATATATTTTATTGATTTTTTACAGACAGGAAGGGAGAGGGATAGAGAGTTAGAAATATCGATGAGAGAGAAACATCAATCAGCTGCCTCCTGCACACCTCCCACTGGGGATGTGCCCGCAACCCAGGTACATGCCCTTGACCGGAATCGAACCCGGGACCCTTCAGTCCGCAGGCCGAGGCTCTATCCACTGAGCCACACCGGTTCGGCCATTTTATTTTTAAAAATAATACTTTCAACCAAAGGACTTGTATGCATCCATATAGGCCTAACCAATGGACACAGACAACAGGGGGGTGAGGGCATGAGTGGGGGGTGTGGGGGGGCAATGGGGGGATAAGGACACATATGTAAAACCTCCATCAATAAAGAAATTAATAAAAAATAATAATAAAATAAAATAATACCTGATACTTTTTGGAAGTCTAATGAGATAAAGCTTATTTGTTCTCTTCCATCATCTCCGAAGGAATCACTAAATCCATCAAATTCTAGGCCACATATTATCAGGAAAATCGTGGGAACAACATCTCGCCCTTTGCCAGGTCAAATAAGGAGATATATATATACATATATTTAATCCTCACCCGAGGATATTTTTCCATTGATTTTTAGAGAGAGAGGAAGAGAGAGGGAGAGACAGAGAGAAACATCGATGTGAGAGAGACACATCAATGGGCCGCCTCCTGCAGGCACCCTGACCAGGGCCCATGCCCTTGACCGGAATCGAACCCGGGACCCCTCGGTCTGCAGGCCGACGCTCTACCCACTGAGCCACACCAACCAGGGCCAGGAGAGATTTTTAAAAATATACTTATTGCCGCACCGGTTTGGCTCAGTGGATAGAGCGTCGGCCTGCGGACTGAAGGGTCCCAGGTTCGGTTCCGGCCAAGGGCATGCACCTGGGTTGCGGGCACATCCCCACTGGGGGGTGTGCAGGAGGCGGCTGATCGATCTCTCTCATCGATGTTTCTAACTGTCTATCCCTCTCCCTTCTTCTCTGTAAAAAATCAATAACATATATATATTTTAAAATATATATATATTTATTGATGTCAGAGAGGAGGAAAGAGAGACAGCGACATCCATGATGAGAGAGAATCACGGATCGGCCGCCTCCTGCACGCCCCACACTGGGGATCGAGGCCGCCACCCGGGCCTGTGCCCTGAGCGGGAATCGAACCCGTGACCTCCAGGTTCCTAGGTCGAGGCTCAGAGACCACGGAGCCACGCCGGCGGGCCAAGGAGAAACTGTTTAAATAACACGCCCGCACAGCCTAAGAACGCAGAGAGGGAGGTCGGAGCAAAGCCACTTTAGATGCCAAAGGCTTCGAGGACCGAGAGGACGGGGATGCTGGCGTCCAGCCGGCGATGCCATCGGAGGGGAAGGACTTGATAGGTCCCCTTCTCCGTGACCGTTCACCCCATCCCCCCCCGTCCCTGGCCACACGCCAGCCCCCGCCCCCCTTGTTCTCCATCAGGGTGCTGAGCTTCAGCGGAGGAGCCACAGCCCCTCAGGCCACACGACAGGGACCTCAGCCCCCCCGCGAGCCTCCCTCCTCCTGCCCCGTGGACGTGCGTCCCCGATGCAGCCAGGCCTGGGCCTTGGGTGCGGGCGGGCGCCACGTGTCCGGGGAGGAGTCCGTGGAGACGGCCCCGCTGCCTGAGGCTCAGCCACTGGGCTCTGCCCCGAGGGGGCCGGGCTGCTTGGCTTTGGGACCCTGGAACGTGAGAGCAGATTCCGGGCGCCCGTCCGAGGCCCCCCAGGAGGCTCCGGGGGGTGGAAGGTGGAGGCATTCCTCCCCAGAGTGGGACTGGAGGGCCGGCTGAGGAATGGATGGCCCTCTCCAGAGAGACAGGCTCCCCCAGACACAGCCCTGTGTCCCCACTCGGTCCCCATTCACGGGAGGGGGGCACGTCTGAGCCGAGTGTCCGGGAGGCGGCCCCATGAGACTTTGAGATCCCTTATCAGCAAGACAGGCCATCCTGGCCCGGCCGGCGCGGCTCAGTGGTTGAGGGTCATCCTATGAACAAGGAGGTCGGGGTTCGATTCCCGCTCGGGGCACAGGCCTGGGTTGTGGGCTCCATCCCCAGTGCGGGGCGTGCAGCAGGCAGCCGATCCCTGATTCTCTCTCACCATGGATGTTTCTCCCTCTCTCCCTCTCTCTCTCTCTTTCTCCCTTCCTCTTTGAAATCAACAAAAACATATTAAAATCTATACTAATAAAAGGGTAATATGCTAATTAGACCAGATGTCTTCCGGACATCCTTCTGGACAAAGCCATGGTGTTGGGGGCTGAGGCAGAGGTGATTAGGAGCAATCAGGCCGGCAGGAGAGGGCAGTTAGGGGTGATCAGGCCGGCAGGGGAGGGCGGTTAGGGGCGATCAGGCCGGCAGGGGAGAGAAGTTAGGGGCGATCAGGCCGGCAGGGGAGGGCGGTTAGGGGCGATCAGGCCGGCAGGGGAGGGCGGTTAGGGGCGATCAGGCCGGCAGGCAGGTGAGTGGTTAGGAGCCAGTGGTCCCGGATTACAAGAGGGATGTCCGACTGCCGGTTTAGGCCCGATCCTGAAGGGATCCAACTGCTGAGGGGCCCTGGATTGAAGAGGGTGCAGGCCGGGCTGAGGGACCCCCCACACACACACACGAATGTCGTGCACTGGGCCTCTAGTTATGTTATAAATAAATTAACTGAATAAGGAATCCGTTTGCTATGCCACCTCCTCCATGAAGGCCTCCTGTCTTTCCAGCCTGGACAGCAGTCCCCGGTGGCTTCCTGTGCGCGCTCTCTCTCTCTCTCTCTCTCTCTCTCGGCCTCTCCTTCACCCCTGGTCCCTCGCTCAGTTTCCTTCCACCTGCAAACTGCTGGGCTTGTTTTGATATTTTCCCATTGATTTTTAAAGAGAGTGGAAGGGAGGGGGCGAGAGAGAGAGAGAGAGAGAGAGACATTGATGTGAGAGAGACGCACCGACTGGTTGCCTCCCGCACCCGGGCCAGGGATGGAGCCTGCAACTGAGGTCCGTGCCCTTGACTGGAATTGAACCCGGGACCCTTCGGTCCACAGGCCGGCGCTCTAACCACTGAGCCACACTGGCCAGGGTGGAGGGAAGTGTTTTGAAGTCCTCATGCCCAGGCCACACCCCAAACCAGTGAAATTTACCCTCATTATCTCTTGGAGGGACCCAACTCCAGCGGTTTCTTTTTTTCTTTTTTTAAACAAATATATATTTTATTGACTTTTTACAGAGAGGGAGGGAGAGGGATAGAGAGTTAGAAACATCAATGATGAGAGAGAAACATCGATCGGCTGCCTCCTGCTCATCCCCCACTGGGGATGCGCCCGCAACCCAGGTCCATGCCCTTGACTGGAATCGGACCCGGGACCCTTCAGTCCGCAGGCCGACGCCCTACCCACTGAGCCACACTGGCCGACCCCAGTCGTCTCTAAAGCACCTTGAGTTGCTATAATGAGCAGCTGGGGTTGCAATGATGGGCTCTGAGCACATCCTACCCTCTCCACCCCCTCTCCCCCTCCCTCCAAAGTTAAGATGCTGTTTTTGTGCCCTGGCCGGTGTGGCTCAGTGGATAGAGCGTCGGCCTGCGGACCAAAGGGTCCCGGGTTCAATTCCGGTCAAGGGCATGTGCCTCGGTTGCAGGCTCCTCCCCGGCCTGGGCCCTGGTCGGGGCGCGTGCAGGAGGCAGCCCATCGACGTGTCTCTCTCACATCGATGTTTCTCTCTGTCTCTCCCTCTGTCTCTAAATTCAATGGAAAAATATCTTTTAAGAAAATCAAAAATGAAGATAAATACAAAAAAAAATAAAAACTTCATAAAATAAAATTTAAAAAAGATGGGGTTTTTGTAAGCGGCTCTCCACTGATTTCTTTGGGGGGGATTTCCTGGGTCCTCAAGGACATGGAGACTCCATGACGCATGGGGGGTTCCCACCCCGGGCAGCTGGGCCGGACGCCCGTTCCGCCCTGTGGTTCCGGCCGGGCTGAGCGTCCCAGCGCAGAATCCATCCACCACCCACAGGGAGGAGGGAGGAAGGGCAGTTTCCAGAAGATGTCCTCTGTGTACTGTCCGAGGCCTCGCCGGGGCCCTCTGGCATCGCAGTTCCCGCTCCCGCCCGGGGTCCCCCCTGCCTCTCCCGTAACAGGAAGGCGGTGAGTCATGGCATCTGACGTCGCTGGCACTACAGGAGCCCGTGTGCCGACGGCCCTTGGCGGGGAGGCAAGGGGGCATGTTTATATTTACGTCTCGTTTACGTTACGCCCCTGAGGGTTGTGGTTTCCGGGCAAAGAAGTCAGTTCCGCTTTGACGAAAAAGTGGAAAATCCGATTGTTCCATCCATGACGAACCCGGCTCTTGTGAGAGCTTCTGCCGAAGGCCAGTGAGCTGTTCAGCCCCCATGGGGGTGCTCTCCCCGCAAGAAACGCCGGACCTCCCAGCTCCCTGCCTCGGCGGCTTCTCTGGCATCTCTGCCCGTCTTTTATGTTAATAAATAAGGAGTCAGCCCGGCTGGGGTGGCTCAGTGGTTGAGCATTGGCCTAGAAACCAGGAGGTCACGGTTCGATTCCCGGTCAGGGCACATGCCCAGGTTGTGGGCTCGATCCCTAGTGTGGGGTGTGCAGGAGGCAGCTGATCTGTGATTCTCTCTCATCATGGATGTTTCTCTCTCACTCTCCCTTCCTCTCTGAAATCAATAAAAAAATCCTCCTATATAATAAAAGCCTAATATGCAAATCGACTGAACAGCAGACTAACCAGTCGCTATGACACGCACTGACCACCAGGGGGCAGACGCTCAACGCAGAACCTGCCCAGCCCATAGGCCCCAACCGGTGGCGGCAGTGGGGGAGGCAGGGCTGGCGAGTGGGCGGCGCCTGCCCAGCCAAGGTGGGTGCCAGCAGGGGCCACCCAATTGCCCTGCTGGGCACCCCACAGATCAGCCCTGATCGCTGGCCAGGCTTAGGGACCCTACCCGTGCACTGATTCCGTGCACCAGGCCTGTCGTATATAATAAAAGGGTAATATGCAAATTGACCGAACAGCCGAACACCCGGAACGCCCATGGACCCTCGCCCTGGCTGTCCCCCCCTGATGGTCCCCATTGGGCGGGCCGGCTGGACCCCACCAGTGCACGAATTTGTGCACCAGACCTCTAGTATGTATATATCTAATCTAATAAAAGGGTAATATGCAAATTGACCGTCACACCAACACCAAGATGGCCACCACAAGACAGCCGGCAGGGGAGCGCAGTTAGAGGCGACCAGGCCCGCAGGGGAGGGCATTTGGGGGGGACTAGGCCTGCAGGGGAGGGCAGTTGGGGGCAACCAAGCCTGCAGCGGAGGGCAGTTAGGGGTGACCAGGCTGGCAAGGGAGGGCAGTTGGGGTGACCGGGACCGCAGGGGAGGCCAGTTGGGGGCAAACAGGCCTATTAGGGGAGGAGAGTTAGGGGCAACTAGGCCTGTAGGGGAGGGCAGTTAGGGGCAATCGAGTTGGCAGGGGAGGGCAGTTGGGGGCAACCAGGCCTATAGGGGAGGCCAGTTAGGGGTGACCAGGCCATCAGGGGAAGGCAGTTAGGGGCAATTGGGTTGGCAGGGGAGGCCAGTTAGGGGTGACCAGGCCTGCAGGGGAGGGCAGTTAGGGGCAATTGGGTTGGCAGGGGAGGCCAGTTGGGGGTGACCAGGCCTGCAGGGGAGGGCAGTTGGGGGCAACCAGGCCTGCAGGGGAGCAGTTAGTTGTCGATCAGGCAGGCAGAAGAGTGGTTAAGGGGTGATCAGGGTGGCAGGCAGAAGTGGTTTGGGGCAGTCAGGCAGGCAGGCAGGCGAGTGGTTGAGAGCCAGCAGTCCTGGATTATGAGAGGGCTGTCTGACATCCCTCGAGGGGTTCCAGATTGGAGAGGGTACAGGCTGGGCTGAGGGACGCACAGCACCCCGCCTCGTGCATGAATTTCGTGCACCAGTCCTCTAGTATATATATAAAAACAAAACAAAAACACGCTTCCCCCCTTTCACATATTTCGGGGTGAGGCACATGGACTCAGACATCCCAGGGCCCGGTGGGGGAGGCGGCTCTGAGTCCGAGCTCCGCACGGGGAAGACCGGCCGCGAGCCTTGCTGAGCCGCTGCCTGGGGAGGCAATGAGCTCACGGCTGCAGCAGACACGCTGGGGGGGGGGGGGCGTCAGAAAAGGGGGCGTCTCCAATCTCCGGGCGCCAGGATTACGGGAAGCAGAGAGCTCGGGGGCCAAGGGGCAGCCCCAGGGGGACCGGACAGCGGACGCAGCAGGAAGAGCGTGGGCTTTGAGGTCAGCGCTGAGCGAAGGTCCCGTCCCGGCTCCGTGGCTTCCTGGCCACTTACGTGGTCGCGGCAGTCGGGGCGCAACAGCTCCCCCACCTGTCACGGGCAGAGAGGGGCCTGGCCCCGTCGAGGTGCTGTGAGGGATGAGTGATGAGCACGTGTAGCCTCAACGCCTGGTACCTGTTCAATTTATGTTTTATTTGTTAAATAGGTTTCATCGATTTTTACAGAGAGGAAGGGAGAGGGATAGAGAGTCAGAAACATCGATGAGGGAGAAACATCGATCAGCTGCCTCCTGCACGCCCCCCACTGGGGATGTGCCCACAACCCAGGTACATGCCCTGACGGGAATCGAACCCGGGACCCTTCAGTCCGCAGGCCGACGCTCTGTCCACTGAGCCACACCGGCCAGGGCTGGTACCTGTTCGATTTATTACAAGAGACCTTGGGCCCTGGCCGGGAGGTGAGTTGGTTACAGCATCGTCCGGATTGGCCAACGCTGCAGGTTCGATCCCTGGTCAGGACACATACAAGAATCAAGCAATGGCCCTGGCCGGTGTGGCTCAGTGGATAGAGCGTCAGCCTGCGGACTGAAGGGTCCCGGGTTCGCTTCTGGCCAAGGGCACAGGCCCGGGTTGCGGGCTCGATCCCCAGTGTGGGCCGTGCAGGAGGCAGCCGATCCGTGATTCTCTCTCATCATGGATGTTTCTCTCTCTCCCTCTCCCTTCCTCTCTGAAATCAATGAAAACGTATTTTTTAAAAAAAATCAATGTCTCTCTCTCTCTCTCTCTCTCTCAAATCAACACACAATTAAAAAAGTTTTTTTAAGAAAATCTTGCCCTACCCGGTTTGGCTCAGTGGACAGAGCGTCGGCCGGCAGACTGAAGGGTCCCGGGTTCGATTCCAGACGAGGGCACAGACCTCGGTTGCAGGCTCGATCCCCTGCTCGGGGCGCGTGCAGGAGGCAACCCATCGAAGTGTCTCTCTCTGTCTCTCCCCGCCCTTCCGCTCTCTCTAAAAATCATTGGAACCCGGCCGGCGTGGCTCAATGGTTGAGCGTTGACCTGTGAACCAGGAGGTCACGGTTAGATTCCCGGTCAAGGGCACGTGCCCGGGTTGCGGGCTCTCTCATCGTTGATGTTTCCATCTCTCTCCCTCTCTGAAACCAATAAAAATATATATATATATATATATATATATATATATATATATATATATATATATATATATATTTAAAGACGTTAATATCAATGGAAAATGTCCTCGGGTGAGGATTAAAAAAATAAAATAAAATGAAAAAATCTTCCTGGACACGGTGACTCCCAAACTGGGTACAAAAATCTCTCTTTCCTTCTTTTTCAAACTCCCTCCGTTTCAAAGCCATTTGAGGGCAAGGGACAGCGGAAACGGAGAATAAATAAAGCAGCTCTGCTGGACGGAGCACCGGCCCCGAGCAGGAGGTGGCGATGGTCCCGTGTGCGTGTGTGTGCGTGCATGCATACGTGTGTGCATGCGTGTGCATGTGTGTGCATGCGGGGTGTGGGGTGTGCGTGCATGTGCGTGTGTGTGCATGTGCGTGTGTGCATGTGCGTGTGCGCGTGTGTGGATGTGTGTGCGTGTGCGCGTGTGTGGATGTGTGTGCATGTGCATGTGCGTGTGTGCATGTGGGTGTGTGTGCATGCGTGTGTGTGCATGTGCGCGTGTCCTGCTGGGGCAGTGACATCACCGTGCGCCTCACTGGAAAGGCCGCCTCCATCGGGGCCGGATCGCTCCCCACGACTCACCTTGGCCCGGCAGACGCCAAGACGGCAAATCATACGGCCCAGCGGGCGGCGGGCGGGCTCCGGGAATCAGACCTCACAGTCGTTTGGGGGGTTTTTTTTGGTTTTTGTTTTGTTTTTCCCCCCCAAACGTTTGCCAGAAGGGCTCATCCAGAAACCGTCTGTCGGCCGAACAGATGTTGGCGGTGAGTCAGGGACCCCAGCTGCCGTCACAGCTGCCCTTTCCTGGGAGCTTCTGAAGCTCGGGGCTCGGTGCAGCTGCACGACCCCCCGCAGGGGAGGGAGGTGTTTGGGCTAATCCTCACCTGAGGACAGATTTTTCTATCGCTTTTCAGAGACCGAGAGGAAGGGAGGGAGGGGGGGAGAGAGAGAGAAACATCCATGATGAGAGAGAATCACGGACCGGCCGCCTCCTGCACGCCCCACACTGGGGATCCAGCCCGCCACCCGGGCCTGTGCCCTGACCGGGAATCGAACCCTGACCTCCTGGTTCCTAGGTGGATGCTCAGCCACGGAGCCACGCTGGCCGGGCTGGAGCCGGGGTTTGACAAACACAGCCCTCGGGACGGAACGAGACTGCAGCCGTCTGGGTGGGTGGCTGAGGGGGGACTGAACCACGTCCCCACATGGGTGCCCCCTGCCACCCTCCGGAACCCGTGACCGTGTTACTCACCTTCGTGAAAAAAGTCACTGGCAGGTGTGATTAAGGATCTTGAGACGGGGTGTCCCCTGGGCCATCTCAGTGGCCGATGGAACGACAGACCCTACAAAAGGGAGGAGGGAGGGCAGGGTCAGTGCAGCAGCCGACGGGGCGTGGAGACAAGACCAGGAAGGGTGCGAGGACGGGCCAGGAGCCGGGCGTGCAGGAGGCAGCTGATCAACGTTTCTCTCTCTCTGCCTCTCTTTCTAAAAAAAAGTCAATAAAATATCTCTTTTAAAAAGGTATATACTCTGGTTTCTCTTCAGATCGTATAAATCTTTCGCCTTTTACTAAAAAGGTATAGCCCGGCCAGGGTGGCTCAGTGGTTGAGCGTCCTCAGCCTAGGAACCAGGAGGTCAGGGTTCGATTCCCGGTCAGGGCACAGGCCTGGGTTGTGGGATCCCCAGTGTGGGGCGTGCAGGAGGCAGCCGATCCGTGATTCTCTCTCATCATGGATGTTTCTCTCTCTCTCTCCCTCTCCCTTCCTCTCTGAAATGATAAAGAAAAGTATATATAAAAGTATATATATGATCTATACTAATAAAAGGGTAATATGCTAATTAGACCGGGAGACTTTCCAGGCAAAGCCATGGTGGTGGGGCTGAGGCAGAGGTGGTTAGGGGCGATCAGGCCAGGAGGGGAGGGCAGTTGGGGCGATCAGGCCAGGAGGGGAGGGCAGTTGGGGGCGATCAGGCCAGGAGGGGAGGGCAGTTGGGGGCGATCAGGCCAGGAGGGGAGGGCAGTTGGGGCGATCAGGCCAGGAGGGGAGGGCAGTTGGGGGCGATCAGGCCAGGAGGGGTGGGCAGTTGGGGTGATCAGGCCGGCAGGGGAGGGCAGTTGGGGGCGATCAGGCCGGCAGGGGTGGGCAGTTGGGGGCGATCAGGCCAGGAGGGGTGGGCAGTTGGGGGCGATCAGGCCGGCAGGGGAGGGCAGTTGGGGGCGATCAGGCCGGCAGGGGTGGGCAGTTGGGGGAGATCAGGCCGGCAGGGGAGGGCAGTTGGGGGCGATCAGGCCAGGAGGGGTGGGCAGTTGGGGGTGATCAGGCCGGCAGGGGAGGGCAGTTGGGGCGATCAGGCCGGCAGGGTGGGCAGTTGGGGGCGATCAGGCCGGCAGGGGGGGCAGTTGGGGGGCGATCAGGCCGGCAGGGGAGGGCAGTTGGGGGCGATCAGGCCGGCAGGGTGGGCAGTTGGGGGCGATCAGGCCAGCAGGGGGACAGTTGGGGGCAATCAGGCCGGCAAGGGGGGCAGTTGGGAGCGATCAGGCCAGGAGGGGAGGGCAGTTGGGGGCGATCAGGCCGGCAGGGGGGCAGGTTGGGAGCGATCAGGCCAGGAGGGGAGGGCAGTTGGGGGCAATCAGGCTGGCAAGGGGCGCAGTTGGGAGTGATCAGGCCAGCAAGGGGGGCAGTTGGGAGCGATCAGGCCAGGAGGGGAGGGCAGTGGGGGGCGATCAGGCCGGCAGGGGGGCGTTGGTGGTGAACAGGCCAGCAGGGGGGGCAGTTGGGAGCGATCAGGCCAGGAGGGGAGGGCAGTTGAGGGCGATCAGGCTGGCAATGGGGGACAGTTGGGGGCGATCAGGCCGCAAAGGGGGGCAGTTTTGGGCGAGAAGGCTGGTGGGGGGGAACTGTTGGGGACAAGCAGGCTGGCAGGCAGGTGAGCGGTTAGGAGACAGCGGTCCCAGATTGGAGAGGGTGCAGGCCGGGCTGAGGGACACCCCCCCCCCACCCCCGTGCATGAATTTCGTGCACCGGGCCTCTAGTGTGTGTGTGTATATATATACGTCAAATATATGTGTGTGTGTGTGTGTGTGTGTGTGTGTGTGTGTGTGTGTGTGTGTTAAATATATATTAAGGTATAGAAAGGTCTCGTGGGAAATAGTTGAACCTAAACACGTGAAGGCAGGGGGTCTGGCTGTCTCTCACGCTCCGCACACACGCGTCCTCTTACCCGTCTGCTCATGTGTGCGCGGGAGGTCCCAGGGGCAGGTGCTCTGAGTGGGCACCGCTGAGTCACACGCCTGTCCATCCATGACGTCCGGGACGTTGCCCCACACGCTCCAACGCTGTCCACCCGTGTCCACCAGCCGGAGTTCCCGCCGCCCACATCCGCAGGCCCAGCTGTGCTCCCAGACTCGGCGAGTGCCAGCCACACACTCACTTCCTGCCCCAGCGACGGGTGGGGGGTCTGACGTACCCGCCCCCCCCCCCCCCAGCTCCTGGGAATCCGCGGGGCAAACCCCGCGGCCGCACGACGACGACGACGGAGCCGGGCTTTCCTCGCTGTGTGACCGCTTCCTGTGTCCCGAACACTAACTGCCAGGAACCTAAGTCCCAGGATGTTCCCTGACACGTTATGGGCTGTCATCGCTGTTCTTCACGCAGATTTTTTTATTTTTATTGAGTGTGAACGTATCCGCGTTTTATTTTGTTTGCTCTTCGTGCCTCGTTTAAGAAACCCCTCTGAGCTCAGGCAATGTGGCTCCGTGGTAGAGCGTCAGCCTATGGACCCGGCGGTCACGGGTTCGATTCCCGGTCAGGGCACAGGCCCGGGTTGCGGGCTCGATCCCCAGGGTGGGGCGTGCAGGAGGCGGCCGATCCATGATTCTCTCTCATCACGGATATTTCTATCTCTCTCCCTCTCCCTTCCTCTCTGACAGCAATAAAAATATACATTTTTAAATCCCATCCTAACCTGATTTCATGAATCTATTGCTCTAGGTGACTTTTCCCCTCAATGTTTTACGGACACGGCTTTTTACACTGAGCTGTTTCGATCCCCATGGAATTGTGTGTGTGTGTGCGTGTGCGTGTGCGTGTGTGTGATATTCTGCATGTGAGTGAGATCAGGACTAGCTGCTTTTTCTCACGCTTTCCCGCCAGCGCCAAGTAACAGCCTCTTCCTGAGTGTGTGTGTGTGAGTGTGTGTTAATGTATATGTGTTTGTGTGTGTGTGTAGGAGTGTGTGTTTGTGTGTGTGCATAGTGCATGTTTGTGTATGAATGTGTGTGTGTGCATGTGTGTGTGAATGTGTGTGTGTGCATGAGTGTGTACGTGTGTGTGTGTGTGTGTGTGTGTCTAGGCCTCTGTTGCTGCAGGTCCTGCGGATCCCTCTCCGTCTCCACACTTACAACCCGACGGCCCAGCAGGACCCCTGCCTCCCTCCCTGCAGGACCCGCCCGCCGCCCAGGTCCCCGCCCAGGCCCCCAGGGACCCATCGACGACAGAGGCAGCCGGGCCGTCACGGCTCCAAGCAAAGCGGCTTTTACTACAGGACGTTTCCAAAGGCCGTTACATTCGCGACACACGTACACGACGGACGGAACAACAACCGTTAGTCACCGAGAACGTTCTAGCAACACCGACGGGGGGGGGGGGGGGGGTCACAGTTCACAGGCGGAGGGCGGACGGCGAGCAGAGGCCAGGGGGGCTGAGCCGGTCCCGTCGCCCAGGCTCCCAGAACCGCCCGTCCCGGGAGGAGAGGAGCCGGTGACAGGGAGGAGCTGTCCTGTGGCCGCCACGTCCCAGCCGGCCACCGGCTCTGGCCACGGGCCCAGGCCTGGGGAGAGGGGGACACGCCGCCCCGGCCCTGGGGTTGGGGAGGTGGGGACACAGCAGGGTTTGGTGGGGGAAAGAGAGAGGGGGAGGCCCCTGGCCGGTCGGGGCGCAGCGACCTCGTGACCGAACCCCCATTTTCGGGGAAAACGAACAGCATTTCGGCCTCTGCCGGGACCTGTGACTGCTGGGCTGTGGGCACCCGCCTGCCTCGCGCAGGAGACAGGCCCCCACCCGGCTCTCGGCAGCACCCCGGCTGCAGGAAGCGGGGGTGCCGGACAGGGCTCACCCCGAAACTGTCTCACTGTTAGCGAGCAGGCGGGTGAGAATCCAGTGACGTCCCGGGCCCAGTGCGGACACGGACGAGAATATCACTCATTTCCCGGGACCTCCTCTCCGCCCCCCCCCCCCCGCCTCTCTCCCCCTCTCTCTAGTCGAGTGGGAGCTCTGGGGGTGTCGGGAGTGCTGATCTGGGGAGCGCACAGCCTCTTTAAGGGCTCAAATAGACGCCTGCCTCTAGCCGGTGTGGCTCAGTGGATAGAGCGTCGGCCTGGGGACCCAAGGGTCCCGGGTTCGATTCCCGGTCAGGGCACAGGCCCGGGTTGTGGGCTCCATCCCCAGTAGGAGGCGTGCAGGAGGCGGCCGATCCAGGATTCTCTCTCACCGTGGATGTCTGTCTGTCTGTCCCTCTCTCTCCCTCTCCCTCCCTCCATTCTCGCCTCCCAGGACGGAGACTGGAGCTGTCGACACCCCGCTGGTCTTGTGGGTTGAGGTTGAACGAGAGGCGGAGATGAAAGGTCCCCCCCTCGGCCGCCCTCGGTGCCCAGCTCCATCCGGGCAGCTCGTGGCCAGGCGGGTCGACCGCATGAGCCATCTCAGAACACCCCCAAGTTCCCCCCAAAAACCAGAAGCACAAAACCCCCAAACTCCCCGGCTCCCGGGCTCCAGGCCGCGATGTGTGTTGATTTTACGGAGACACCATCCTCTGACCCAGAAGCTGGTGCTGTGCCTTTTTGGGGGGGCGCACGGGAAGACACCCGGGGGCCTGGGACAGTCCAGGCGGGCTCAGTGTCTGCCTCCTGCTGCCCCCCAACTCCCCTCCGAGCCAAAGACTCCTACAAGAGACCCACACCCCCTGCCTCGAACCCGGGACCACTCGGCCCTATTCACACAGGGCCCTGGCCCCGGCCAGTGTGGGTCAGTGGATAGAGCCTCCGCCTGCAGACCGAAGGGTCCCGGGTTCGATTCCGGTCAAGGGCACGGACCTCGGTTGCAGGCTCCTCCCCAGCCAGCCCTGGTCGGGGCGCGTGCAGGAGGCGGCCCATCGATGGGTCTCTCTCACATCGATGTTTCTCTCTGCCTCCCTCTCCCTTCCACTCTCTAAGAACCAATGGAAAATACCCTCGGGGGAGGGTTAGAAACAAAAAAACAACAAAAGCCCCACAAAGCCGCTCTGGAAGCTAAAATCCGTGTTAGTTTGGAGGAACCGGAGGGCATCCCACCCACCAGACCAACGCTGAGCCTTAGAGGTACAGCTCCCCACGCCAGCTGGGCCCCGGGGGTGCGGACAGGGCTCACCCCGAAACTGTCGCCAGAGCCACTCAGCAGATGCACCCCACCCACCCCCAGAGGCTGGTCGGGAAGCCGCCTGGCGCCCCAGGCCCCGGCACCCGCCCGTCCCGTCCGCACCCCCGCACAAGGGCCTCTGTGACCCAGGAGCCTCCTGCAGGCTCCGGCGACATGAATGGGGTGAGGAGGAGTCGCCCCAGCCCCCCAGCCCGGCCCTGGCCCCCGGGTCCCCCTCCTGCAGCCGGGGTGCTGCCCAGCGCGGGGTGGGGCACACCTCGGGGCTCACTCACGCGTGCCCGGGACTCAGACGCTCACTCTGCCCACGCAGAGCAGACACGGGCCCGACACATACAAAGGGCACGCGGGTCTGGGGAGCCGGGGCGTGGGGTGCACGCTCCCCGATCTGTGCTCTCACCTCCGGCTCACAGAGCACAGGCTGTGCCCCCCGTGCACCCCCGTTTCGGGCGCCCCCGAGCCCCACCTGCCCACAGAAGACAAAGGCCAGGAGAGAGCTGGTCCCAGCCGCGTGGGCAGGCCCGGGGTCGGGGGCACGTGGGGGGCTGTAAGCGAACGTCTACCGGGAAAAACTGTCGAGATCGGACACACCCGGATTCTCAGGACCCGGCGGCCGCCTCGCAAGGACACACGGGGACAGCACAATAAATACAAGGGACCCCCGACGTCTCCCGGGCTCCGGGCGGGGGGGTGAGCGGTGCGGGGCCGGGCGCACGCGGGCGGGGGGTGAGGTGCCCTCTGTTGGCGGGGGGGATGGGGGGTGGCTGCGGCGTCCCCATCACAGCCCGGGGAGGGGTCCACGGAAGCCTCGCTCTGCCCCCCGCTACTCAGAGAACGGCGGGAACATGCCCAGGTCAGCGAAGTCCTCGATGTTGTAGCTGCCGGTCCCCTGGGCCGGGTCCCCCGGCATCGGCAGCATGTCCTGCAGGGACAGACGGGGGGGGGTGGGGAGGGCAGGGCAGTGGGCACCGCACGGCCCACTCGTCTCTAACGGGGGGGGGGGGGGGGAAGGCAGGGGGCAGGGCTCCCTGATGCCTGAGACCCGGGGAGGGGGGACCTGTCACTCCCACAGGTGAACAGCCTTTGTCTGTGTCAGGCTGAACCAGGATGCAGGGTGGACAAGACCCCACGGGGACCCGGCCGGTGTGGCTCAGGGGCTGAGCGTCCACCCAGGAACCAGGAGGTCAGGGTTCGATTCCCGCTCAGGGCACAGGCCCGGGTTGCGGGCTCCATCCCCAGTGGGGGGCGTGCAGGAGGCGGCCAATCCATGATTCTCTCTCATCATGGATGTTTCTCTCTCCCTTCCTCTCTCTTCCTCTCTGAAATCAATAAAAATATTTTTTAATAATATTTTATTGATTTTTTACAGAGAGGAAGGGAGAGGGATAGAGAGTTAGAAACATCCATCAGCTGCCTCCTGCACACCCCGCACTGGGGATGTGCCCACAACCAAGGTGCATGCCTTTGACCGGAATCGAACCCGGGACCCTTCAGTCCGCAGGCTGATGCGCTATCTACTGAGCCACACCAGTCAGGGCAATAAAACTATTTTTTAAAAAAACAACGGAGCTGCCAGGTGCCCAGGCTCCCTCACCGGGGCCTTCAAGGCCTGGGAGCCCTCGTCGGGGGCAGGGCGCGGGCAGTGGCGGGGGAAGGAGGCGGAGAGGAGACCCGGGGACTGAGGGAAGGGGCGCGGCTGTACCTGGAACACTTCGGTCTGGCCCGGCTGCGGGTGGGCGTGCTGCTCGCCGCTCGGCTGCCCGTGGTGCTGGCTCTGCCACTGGGACCAGACTTCCGACGGCCGGCCCTGGAACTGCGCGCCGCCCTGGCCGCCTTCAGCTGCAAGACCCGGGGGCGGGGGTGGGGGGGAGACGGGGACGTGTCACAGGGGGAGCCTCCACAGCCCCTCCCTCCCGCTGGGGCCTGGATCTGCCCCCCAGATCCACAGATGGAAGGCTGCCCCCCCGCATCTCAGCGTGGAACTGCATTTGGAGTGAAGGCTTTTAGTTTTATCTTCAATCCTCCTCCGAGGACATTATTTCCATTGATTTTTAGAGAGAGGGAAAGGGAGGGAGAGACAGGGAGAGAAACGTCGATGTGAGAGAGACACATCGATGGGCTGCCTCCTGCACGCGCCCCGACCGACCGGGGATGGAGCCAGCAACCCAGGTATGTGCCCTTGAGCGGAATCGAACCCAGTACCCTTCAGTGCACCAGCCAACGGTGAGCTAAACCAGCTGGGGCAGAGTTAGGGCTTTTGAAAAAGTCATTAAGGTGCCCGGCCGGCGTGGCTCCGTGGCTGAGCATCGACCTAGGAGCCAGGAGGTCAGGGTTCGATTCTCGGTCAGGGCACAGGCCCGGGCTGCGGGCTCCATCCCCAGTGGGGGGCGTGCAGGAGGCAGCCGGTCCATGATTCTCTCCCATCATGGATGTTTCTCTCTCTCCCTCTCCCTTCCTCTCTGAGATCAATAAAAATATACTTTTAAAAAGGGAGAGCGAGCCCTGACCGGTGTGGCTCAGTGGATAGAGCGCGGCCTGCGGACTGAAGGGTCCCGGGTTCGATTCCGGTCAAGGGCATGGACCTTGGTTGCGGGCACATCCCCAGTGGGAGGTGTGCAGGAGGCAGCTGATCGGTGTTTCTCTCTCATCCATGTTTCTGGCTCTCTGTCCCTCTCCCTTCCTCTCTGTAAAAAAATCAATAAAATGTATTTAAAAAAGAGAGAGAGAGAGACAGCCCTACAGTGTTCACTATTTACACACCTGGCCGTCCCGGTAACGATTCTCTAGTTTTCTGAAATGAGACTCTAGACCAGTGGTTCTCAACCTTCTGGCCCTTTAAACACAGTTCCTCGTGTTGTGACCCAACCATAACATTATTTCCGTGGCTACTTCATCACTGTCATGTTGCTCCTGTGATGAATCGTCATGTAAATATCTGATCTGCAGGATGGTCTTAGGCGACCCCTGTGCAAGGGTCGTTCGACCACCAAAGGGGTCGCGACCCACAGGTTGAGAACCGCTGGCCTAGGGTTTTGGACGCGGGTCCTCAAAGCCCTCGCCAAGGCCCACGGAGGGTAAGGTAGGGATCAGACCACGTGGGAATGGAGCCCGTGGCCTTGAACCCGGCGGCCTCAGCCACAGCCCAGTCTACGCAGCCAGTCGCCGAGGCCACCAAGGGCCGCTCAGAGCCAGAGGGAAGGGGCGCTGAGAAACCTCAGCCCCGCTGCCAGGATTCGGGGAGCGCGGGGCTCAGCCCCCCCAAACTGGGGATGTTCCAGAGGCGTGGCTTAATGCCCCCCCCGGATCCCCACCCCCGTCCCCCACCTACCAAAGCCGGGGGTCCTGCTGGCCAGGCCGGAGTAGGCGTTGCCACTGGGCGAGGAGGTGGCCGGGCTGGACAGCGGGCTGTAGGAGGCGGGGTCGGCCGGGTAGCTGTGGCCCGTGCCAATCCCAAACGGGGAGGACTGGGTCTTGCCGGCCTGAGGGGGGCACGGGCCGCGGTCAGGGCGCAGCGGAGAGATGGACGCATCCCCGCAGGTCCCCGCCGGGCCCCAGGCTGGTCGCCGCCGCCCGCAGGTGTGGGAGCTCGGGGCAGGGCCGGCTCGGGGCGGACGGACCCCCAGGCCCTGCTGGCCGGCCGGGCACAAGCCGGGGTCAGGCCCAAGTGGACGGGCCGCGGAGCCGCAGGACGTGGGCCCTGGATCTCTGGGGGCAGGTCAAGGGCACCCCCTGGGCCCTCGGGGGCCCGGCTGTTCGGGATAGTCAGCTCCAGCCCAGGGCCGGGACGTCGGGCGCCATGCGGGGGTGCCCCGCCCTGGGCAGCCGCGGGCAGTGGCCCCCCGAGGCCGTACCTGTGCGGGGAAGGGCGGCCGGCTCCCGGTCCAGGCCACCTGGCTCTGGCTGAGCTGCCGGGAGATCTGGGACATGTTCTGGCCGGTCGAGGAGGAGGACTGGATGTCGTTCACCCCGGGCACGTGCACCACGGAGGAGCTGAAGGAGAGAGCAAGCGTGTGTCCTCAGATGCCCGCCCGGCACACGCCCTGCCCTGCCCGGACCACCTCCCACCCTGCCCTGCCCGGACCACCCCCCGCCCTGCCCACCTCCCCGCCCTGCCCTGCCCTGCCTGGACCACCCCCCGCCCTGCCCACCCCCCGCCCTGCCCTGCCCGGACCACCTCTCACCCTGCCCTGCCCGGACCACCCCCCCGCCCTGCCCTGCCCGGACCACCCCCCCGCCCTGCCCACCTCCCCGTCCTGCCCTGCCCGGACCACCCCCCGCCCTGCCTGCCCGGACCACCCCTCGTCCTGCCCTGCCCAGACCAGGAGGTCAGGGTTCGATTCCCGGTCGGGGCACAGGCCCGGGTTGCGGGCTCCATCCCCAGTGCGGGGCGTGCAGGAGGCAGCTGGTCCGTGATTCTCTCTCCTCATTGATGTTTCTCTCTCTCTCCCTCTCCCTTCCTCTCTGAAACCAATAAACACGTATTTAAAAATAAAAGAAAAAAGAGGCCTGGAGCCAGGACCCAGCCTGGGAAAGGAAGGGCGACACCGGCTGGGCCCGAGCGGCCGCTGGGCTGAGACCCCGGGCCTGACGGACCGTGTGGTCCTCTGTCCCGTGGCGGGGGCTGCGGCCGCGGGGAGCCGGGGCCCAGGGCGCTTCTGCCGCCCGACGGGTGTCGGCAGCTCCGACCCACCAGGCCTGGGTGCAGCCAAGCAGCCCCTCTCCCTGGCGCCCTTCTCGCCCGAGAGAGGAATAAACACCTCGTCTCCATGGGAACCGGAGCCCCCGGGTGCTCAGCCCAGCCCCGACCTGCGGACAGGCCACCCGGCCGCCCAGCGCCAGCTCTGAGGTGTGAGGGCCCCCTGGCCCCCGGCCCCCGGCCCCCAGCCCCCACCTGCGGACAGGCCCATGGCCGCCCAGCGCCCAGCTCTGACGTGTGAGGGCCCCCTGACCCCCGGCCCCCGGCCCCCACCTGCGGACAGGCCCCCGGCCGCCCAGCGCCCAGCTCTGAGGTGTGAGGGCCCCCCGGCCCCCGGCCCCCACCTGCGGACAGGCCCACGGCCACCCAGCGCCCAGCTCTGACGTGTGAGGGCCCCCTGGCCCCCGGCCCCCGGCCCCCACCTGCGGACAGGCCCCCGGCCGCCCAGCGCCCAGCTCTGACGTGTGAGGGCCCCCCGGCCCCCGGCCCCCACCTGCGGACAGGCCCACGGCCACCCAGCGCCCAGCTCTGACGTGTGAGTGCCCCCCGGCCCCCGGCCCCCACCTGCGGACAGGCCCCCGGCCGCCCAGCGCCCAGCTCTGAGGTGTGAGGGCCCCCCCGGCCCCCAGCCCCCGGCTCCCGCCCGCCCGGCGCACCTGAAGGCCTTGCCCGAGTGTCCGGCCGGGAAGGGGCTGCCCTGGGAGTAGATCTGCTGGCTTCCTGCCGCGGAGGCCGAGCCCATCATCTTCTTCTCCGCTGGGGACGGAGCAGGTCACATGATTCCGGGGTTCCCGCCTGCAGACCGCGGGGCAGGCGGCCGCGAGCACAGGTGCAGGCGGGAGGCGCCAGAGGGGGTGCGGGGCCGGGCAGCTCATCCCCACTGGGGCCTTGCTCCCCCCCCCCCCCGTCCCCACAGCAGCAGGCGGTCTGCCCCGGGGACAGGACACAGCCCCCAACCTGGGCCGGGACACAGCCCCCCCCCACCTGGGCCAGGACACAGCCCCCCCCCCCACCTGGGCCAGGACACAGTCCTCCCCCACCTGGGCCAGGACACAGCCCCCGCCCCCACCTGGGCCAGGACACAGCCCCCCCCCACCTGGACCAGGACACAGCCCCCCCCCCACCTGGGCCAGGACACGGCCCCCCACCTGGGCCAGGACACGACCCCCCACCTGGGCCAGGACACAGCCCCCGCCCCCACCTGGGCCAGGACACAGCCCCTGCCACCTGGGCCAGGACACAGCCCCCCACCTGGGCCAGGACACAGCCCCCCACCTGGGCCAGGACACAGCCCCCCCCCACCTGGGCCAGGACACAGCCCCCCCACCTGGACCAGGACACAGCCCCCCCACCTGGACAAGGACACAGCCCCCCACCTGGGCCAGGACACAGCCCCCCCACCTAGGCCAGGACACAGCCCCCCACCTGGGCCAGGACACAGCCCCCCCACCTGGGCCAGGACACAGCCCCCCACCTGGGCCAGGACACAGCCACCCACCTGGACCAGGACACAGCCCCCCACCTGGGCCAGGACACAGCCCCCCCCCCCCACCTGGGCCAGGACACAGCCCTCCCACCTGGGCCAGGACACAGCCCCCCCCCCCACCTGGGCCAGGACACAGCCCCCCCCCCCCACCTGGGCCAGGACACAGCCCTCCCACCTGGGCCAGGACACAGCCCCCCACCTGGGCCAGGACACAGCCCCCCCCCCCCACCTGGGCCAGGACACAGCCCCCCACCTGGGCCAGGACACAGGTGATGTGTAAACACACGGGAAGCGACATTTCCCTACAAACAGCCGAGAGGACCCAGCTCGCACTGATGGGAAGTTCCGGGTTCGTACCCCAAGTCCACAGCAGGCCCGAGTGTCTGCCGAACTGGTTGGATTCTGTTATTTTTGTCATCGGTTGGAAAGACGCGGTTTTAACAGCGGTTCTACCCGGGCGGGGGGACGGAGGGTCACTTTCCTCTCCCTTTCAAGGCCTACCTCTGTTTGAAAACGGGGTCTTCTCCCCGTGAGGGGTTACGCTGAGGTTTTTATTTTTATCTTTTACGGGGACACCCTTCAGCTTAAAGCGAAAGCGCACCCCCGACCCATCGTCAGAGCTCGCTTAGGGGACGGGGGGGGGAGAGGCCAGGCCGGGGGGTGACAGGCCCAGCCCCCCCACCCCTGCTCCGTCAGTGGGCGCTCCCCGTCCGGGTCCCGGCCCTACGGGAGGCTGCTCTGTGTCTCTCCGGGCCAGGCAGCGACCATGAACCCACACTTACAGGCTCCGATCCCCGCGAACATCTCCGCGAAGCGGGGGTCGCGCTCCTGGGAGAAGAGGGCGTCGGCCTTCTCCACGGCCTTCCCGGCCTCGTGCACGCCCGCCGGCAGGCTGGGGACGGGGACCTGCTCGCACACGGAGACCGCGGGAGGCTCTGAGCGGCCGCCGGCCGCCCACCAGCCCCCACCCCCCTCCATCCCCAGGGCCCCGTCTCGGGGGCCACGGGTCACAGGAAGGACAAGGGGGTCACACGGGTGACTCAGAGGAATAAAAATAAGCAACGCCCTCTCTCGGGAAAAGTGCATTTAAAGTTTAAATTTTTTTAAAATATATTTTTATTCCTATTATTTTTGAAATGTTTTTGTTGATGTCAGAGAGGAAGGGAGAGAGAATCACGGATCGGCTGCCTCCTGCACGCCCCAACTGGGGATCCAGCCCGCAAATTGGCCATGTGCCCTTGACCGGAATCGAACCCGGGACCCTTCAGTCCACAGGCCGACGCTCTATCCACTGAGCCACACCAGCCAGGGCAAAATATATTTTTATTGATTTCAAAGAGGAAGGGAGAGGAGAGAGAGAATCATGGACCGGCTGCCTCCTGCACACCCCACACTGGGGATCGAGCCCACAACCCGGGCAGGTGCCCTTGACCAGAATCGAAACCTGACCTCCTCGCCGAAACCGGTTTGGCTCAGTGGATAAAGCGTCGGCCTGCGGACTGAAGGGTCCCGGGTCCGATTCCGGTCAAGGGCATGTACCTGGGTTGCGGGCACTTCCCCAGTGGGAGGTGTGCAGGAGGCAGCTGATCGATGTTTCTCTCTCATCGATGTTTCTCTCTATCTCTCTCCCTTCTCTCTGTAGAAAATCAATAAAATAAAAAACAAAACAAAACAAAACAAAAAACCTGACCTCCTGGTTCATAGGTCGATGCTCTACCACTGAGCCACACCAGCTGGGCAAAGTTTAAATTTTTTTTTTTTAATTCAGCGCTTTTAGATAGAGAATGGGGGGAAAGAGAGAGAGAGAAACATCAATTTGTAGCCCTGGCCGGTTTGGCTCAGTGGGTAGAGCGTCGGCCTGCAGACTGAAGGGTCCCGGGTTCGATTCCGGTCAAGGGCACGGACCTCAATCCCAGGGTTACAGGCTCAATCCCGGGCCCTGGTTCGGACACGGGCAGGAGGCGACCCATCGATGTGTCTCTCTCACATCGATGTTTCTCTCTGTCTCTCTCTCTGCCTCTTCCTTCCACTTTCTCTAAAAATCAATGAAAAAAAAATAATACCCTCAGGTGACAATTAAAAAAAAAGAGAGTGGCAGGGGCCCCGGGGGCACTCAGACCCCTGCACTGTGAGGCCCCAGGCGACCGGTGGGAAGAGGCCAGGCCAGGGGTGACACATGCAGGGCGCCACAGCACCTGCTGGGTGAGGGGCGGAGCCGAACTGAGTCCCGCCCTCAGCCCCGGCCCGGGTTGGAGGCCGGTCAGACACTCACCTGTGCCAGGTCGTAGGAGGAGAGGCCGTCTCTCTGGTGCACCTCCAGCTCCGCCTGCTGCTGCTGGAGCTGCCTGCGGACGGACAGACGGACGGACGGACAGACGGTCACTGCCTGGCCGGCCGCCCTGCTGCCCGGGGGCGGGGTGGGGCGGGGGCAGTGTCTCCAAGATCAATCATTTAAAAAATATATTTGTATTGATTTCAGAGAGAGAGAGAGAAGCATCCATGATGAGAGAGAATCATGGACCGGCCGCCTCCTGCACGCCCCACACTGGGGATGGAGCCCGCAACCCCGGCCGGTGCCCCGACCGGGAATCGAACCCTGACCTCCTGGTTCCTAGGTCGATGCTCAGCCCCTGAGCCACACTGGCCGGCCAGGCTCCTCCCCGACTTTCCCTAACGAGGCTGCCCAAGGCCAGGGAAGGTCAGTGAGGACTGGGGTACAGGGCCGGGCTGTGGGCTCAGGGCCGGCACTGCCCTCTGCTGTCCACAGCCGGCACCTCCCGGCCTTCCTTCTGCCCAGCAGCCCTGGGAGAGAGTGGGGTGCGGGCTCCCCCGCCAGGCACCCCGCATGCACGACTGTGGGAGCGCAGACACGGGCGGAGCAGGCAGCTCTCGCCGACACCCCGTCCGTCACACACACGGGCACCGAAGGGGGGACGTTCTGGATCAGTGCCCGGGCCCGCAGGCGTGAAGAGGGGCCCGCCTGTTCCCACGGCTCCTGCACGGGCAGCGAGGGGCTGTGACAGGCGGCAGGAGCCTGGGGGTGGGGACCCGGCGGCCTGAAGGGGTGCCCGCAGGTGGGGGGGCATGTCCCCCTCCTCCGGGGCCCCCAGGCCGCTCCTGGCTCCACGGGGCGTGAGCACCGAGGGCCTGGAGGGAGCGGCCTCCCCCTGCAGGGAGCCACCTGAGGGCGGAAAGGGGGGACAGAGAGGGGTCCACGGGGGCCTGGGAGACCCCAGGACCCAGCCAGAGTGAGAAGAAAGCAGGGCAAAGGTTGATGGTCGACCTGTGAACCAGGAGGTCAGGGTTTGATTCCCAGTCAAGGACACAGGCCCGGGTTGTGGGCTTGATCCCCAGTGGGGGGCGTGCAGGAGGCAGCCGGTCGGTGATTCTCTCTCATCATCGATGTTCCTCTCACTCCCTCCCTCCCCCTTCCTCTCTGAAATCAATGAAAATCTCTATATATAAAAAGCCAGCAACTGGACCGCTGTAAGGACCAGAACAACCGTCTCTATGATGCCCACTGTGGCCAGCGAACCTGTCGGATCTGGGGTGTGGACGGCCAGCCAATCTCCCACGGTCCCTCCCCCCAGCTGGCCCCGCCCCTGATCACCCCCCCACCCCAATAGGGGGCAGGGCCCGCTGGCCAACCTCCTGCAGCCCCTCCTCCCAGCTCGCCCCTACCCCTGATGGGCCCCCACCACCCCAATCGGCCTGCAGCCCCTCCCTCCGGCCAGCTTTGCCTCTGATCACCCCCCCCACCCCAATAGGAGGTGAAGTTGGCCCTGGCCGGTGTGGCTCAGTGGGTGGAGCATCGGCCTGCGGACTGAAGGGTTCGATTCTGGTCAAGGGCACACGCCCGGGTTGTGGGCTCCATCCCCAGTTGGGGGCCGTGCTGGAGGCAGCGGATGGATAAGGGGGAGCCGCGGAGACCCTGGGGGGCACCATGTCGATGACTGGGCAGCAGAGAGACCACGTGTCCCCGATGTGCCCGCCCCCAGGCCCTAGAGCTCTCGCTGTCCTGCCGACTCAGTGGGACCCAGAGCCCAGGCAGCACCCTCAGGCGATGGGAGGCGGACGGGGCCGGGGGGCAACCAGGGCCCACTGTGCGGGGTGGGGGGGTGTGGTGGGGGGGTCCTCCCTGGGCCTGGGGTCTGTGGACCTGCCAGTGAGGGAGGGCCCACGTCCGGTCCCGCTCGGCGCCTGCAGGGGAGGGGCCGCGGGGAGGGAGCGGCACGCACTTGACGTTGGTGTTGGTGCAGATGAGGTACTCGATCTCGTCCGAGTACGGGTTCTGGAAGGTGAAGCTGCTGGTGCGCAGCAGCAGCCACTCGCGGTTCTTGGTGCGGAACCGGTACATGACGGACAGCACCTGGCCCTTCAGCTTCACCACCTACGGGGGCGGGGGCGGAGTCAGCGGGGGGGCGGGGCGGAGTCAGCAGAGCCGGGGGCGGAGTCAGCGGGGGGGCGGGGCGGAGTCAGCAGGGCCGGGGGCGGAGTCAGCGGGGGGGGCGGAGTCAGCGGGGGGCGGGGCAGAGTCAGCGGGGGGCGGGGCAGAGTCAGCGGGGGGAGGGGACGGAGTCAGGGGGGGGCAGGGCGGAGTCAGTGGGGGGCGGAGCGGAGTCAGCGGGGGGAGGGGCGGAGTCAGTGGGGGGGTAGGGCGGAGTCAGTGGGGTGGGGGGCGGAGTCAGCGGGGGGGTAGGGCGGAGTCAGTGGGGTGGGGGGCGGAGTCAGCGGGGGCGGGGCGGAGTCAGCGGGGGGAGGGGACGGAGTCAGGGGGGGGCAGGGCGGAGTCAGCGGGGGGCGGGGCGGAGTCAGTGGGGGGCGGAGTCAGCGGGGGCGGGGCGGAGTCAGTGGGGTGGGGGGCGGAGTCAGCGGGGGGGTGGGGCAGAGGGGGGGTAGGGGGGGACAGACGGGGTGAGGCCAGGGGGGCTCAGGGCCGGCCATCGCAGCCAAAGACTAAGGCCACGGAGGTCAGGGTTCGAGTCCCGGCCGGGGCACAGGCCCGGTCCGGGGTCCATCCCCAGCGGGGGGCCTGCAGGAGGCGGCCGGTCCGTGATCCTCTCATCACGGATGCTTCTCTGTCTCTGTCCCTCTCCCCGCCTCTCTGACATCATCAACAATGAAAAATAAAACAAAACCCGCTGGACTGGGGTCCCGGGCGGGGCAGGCACGCTGTCACCAAGCTCAACATTCCTCACGCCTGACCGGGGCCTCGTGCTTGTGTTCAAGGGCCCACCCAGCGCCTTCGCGCTTTTGCGAAAATAAGCCACTTCCCCTTGTCAACATCTGTCCCCACCGCTGTCGGCGGCCGGAGCCCGGAGAACACGGACCCGGGGCAGGCACTCGGGGTGTCCCGCGCTGCTCGGCTCCCCCGACACCCCCGCCCCCCGACCCTGTGACCCCGGAGTGTGGCCTTCGCCTCCCCCAGCCGGACGATGGGGAGGCGGCTCACGGCACAGGAGTTCCCGCAGCCGGACGCCAGCGGGACCCCATGTTAAATGCCTTCCTTCTCTTTCCAGAACCACCCGGGTCGGACCGCGCCGGCCCTTCCCTTCCTGGGGCCCGAGGGGAACGTGGGGGCTTCAGGGATCTGCCGTCTCTCTCCCCACAGGGGCCCCGGGCTCAGGAGGGAGCGGGTGACCCCCAGATTCAGGGACGTTTCCGCAGAAGGGTTTCCCCTCGTGCAGCACACAGTAGGCGCTCAGCAAACAGCAGCTAAGCCCTGGCCGGTGTGGCTCAGTGGGTAGAGCGTCGGCCTGCGGACTGAAGGGTCCCGGGTTCCATTCCCGTCAGGGGCACGGACCTCGGTTGCGGACTCCTCCCCGGCCCAGGCCCTGGTCGGGGCGCATGCAGGAGGCAACCCATCGACGTGTCTCTCTCACATCGATGCTTCTCTCTGTCTCTCCCTCTCCCTTCCACTCTCTCTCTAGAAATCAATGGAAAAATATCCTCACGCCCTGGCCAGTGTGGCTCAGTGCATAGAGCGTCGGTCTGCGGACTGAAGGGTCCCGGGTTCGAGTCCCGTCAAGGGCACAGGCCTGAGTTGCGGGCTCGGTCCCCAGTGGGGGGCGTGCAGGAGGCAGCCAATCCGTGATTCTCTCTCATCATCGATGTTTCTCTCTCTGAAATCAATAAAAATGTATTTTAAAAACTATATCCGCAGGTGAGGATTAAAAAAAAAAAAAACAGCGGCTAATAATGACGACGGTCACGATGCAGTCATGGGGGGCAGGGGGAGACCCTCAATCTCTCCCCAAGGCACCCCTCACCCAGCAGCTGCCTCCTCCTCAGATGCCACCACCCCTGCCAACCGCCCGCCTCCCCACCTCCCTCTGGGGGGTCAGAACAGCCCCCAACAGGCCTTCTCCCTCTGACCCCCCTCCCCCATTTCTCCTCGGCACACCCGGCTGCCAGCACCGTTTCTCCAGAGAACACGGCCCTGCCTGAACTCCAGGAATCCTCACTGACGTGACCCCGGGGGGAGTCTAGTCTTATTTTTTAAATATATTTTTATTGATTCCAGAGAGGAAGGGAGAGGGAGAGAGAGAAACATCCATGATGAGAGAGAATCACGGACCGGCCGCCCCCTGCACGCCCCACACTGGGGATGGAGCCCCCAACCCGGGCCTGTGCCCTGACCGGGAATCGAGCCCTGACCTCCTGGTTCCTAGGTCGATGCTAACCACTGCGCCACACCAGCCCCATTTCATCCCCCCCCCGCCCCGCTCCCCTAGGCCTCCCAGAAGCCGGCGACCTGCACACACGTATTATTCTCCCCACGGCCCTCACCCTTGTCACGTCTGGGGGTGCCCCTCTTGGGGAAGATCCTCCCATTCCTCCCAGGCTCACCCACCAGGACCCCCCCCCCCGTGACCCCCATCCTCTGCCGTTGTCTGTGACGCGGTCACGTCCTCCTCACGGGTCTGTCCCCCCTAGAAGGGCGCCGTGAGCTCCCTGGCGGTGGGCCCCCGACCACCAGGCGCGCGTGGGGCTGGCGCCCTGCAGGCCACATCCGCGTGGACCCGGCTCCTGCCTCCTCCCCGTCGCCCGGCAACGCCCCGGCCCGGCGGTACCTGCTGGAAGCTCTCCCGCAGGTGGCTCTGGTCCTCGGAGTGGCAGAATTCCAGGATGTCCTTCCCCAGCAGGTCCTGAGGGGGAGACGCGTTAGCAGCCCCGGGCCCCTCTCCTGGCGTTTGCGTGTCCCTGTGAGGGGCCCGGCCGGTGTGGCTCAGTGGATAGAGCCTTGGCCTGCGGGCTGAAGGGTCCCGGGTTCGATTCCCGGTCAAGGGCACGGACCTGGGTAGCAGGCTCCTCCCCCGCCCGGGCCCTGGTCGGGGCGTGTGCAGGAGGCAACCCATTGATGTGTCTCTCTCACATCGATGTTTCTGTCTGTCTCTCCCTCTCTCTTCCACGCTCTCTAAAGATCAATGGGAAAATATCCTGGGGTGAAGATGGACAAAAAGAAAACAACAGCCCTGACTGGTGTGGCTCAGTGGATAGAGCGTCGGCCTGCGGACTGAAGGGTCCCGGGTTCGATTCCGGTCAAGGGCATGTGCCTTGGTTGCGGGCACATCCCCAGTGCGGGGCGTGCAGGAGGCAGCTGATCGATGTTTCTCTCTCATCGATGTTTCTAACTCTCCCTCTCCCTTCCTCTCTGTAAACAATCAATAAAATATATTATCGCTGCGAGAGCAGCGCTCACTTCCACCCCCCCACCCCGCACGCCGTCTCTAACTCACGCCAGGATGCGGGGGGAACGGGTGAGCATCGCCGACCCCGCCGCCACCACGAAGCGGCTGCTGGACCCCAACCCAGGCCCTGTGGCCTCACCCACTGACCAACACCAGCCCCATTTCATCCCCTCCCCGCGCTATCCACTGAGCCACACCAGCCAGGGCTCCAACTTCCACTGAGGGACACGGGCTGTGCCGTGGGCCCCACACCACGTGACTGAGTTGTGTCCCGAGCGAAGGAGACGAGGACGTTGTAGGGGGGACCCACCTGGGGCTGGGGGGACCCACTTGGGGCTGGGGGTGACCTACCTGGGGCTGGGGGGACCCACCTGGGGCTGGGGGGACCCACCTGGGGCTGGTAGCCGATGACGCTGATGCAGCGGGGATCCACGAAGGTGATGACCCCATCGGCGTTGTGGCGCGACAGGAACTCCGTGGGCACCGCCATCCCGCTCATGTCCATGCACACGGGGGAGCTGGTCACCTGCCGGGGGCGGGGGCTGCGGTGAGGAGGCTGGGCCGGAGCCGGAGCCAGGAGGAGCCACAGGGATGGGGGCCGGGGATGGAGCCGGAGCCGGGAGGAGCCGTGGGGACAGGGGCCGGGGACGGAGCCAGAGCCGGGAGGAGTCGTGGTGACGGGGGCCGGTCCACAGAGCCGTCCATGCGCTCAGCCCAGCGAGTGTAACACCAGCGTGTCAGACCCGTGGCCCGCGGCCCACAACAGATGTGTTTGCGGCCCCACCAATGTAAGGGTACGTGAGGAACGTGTTAATAAAAACTTCATCACTTAATTTTTGTAATATCCTGTTGTCCGTTATCTATGCTAATAAAAGGGTAATTAATATGCTAATTAGACCGGGAGACCTTCCGGACGTCCTTCTGGACAAAGCCATGGTGGCGGGGCCGAGGCAGAGGTGGTTAGGGGTGATCAGGCCAGGAGGGGGGGCAGTTGGGGGTGATCAGGCTGGCAAGGGGGCAGTTGGGGGCGAGCAGGCCAGCAGGTAGAGTGGTTAGGGGTGATCAGGCCGGCAGGCAGGTGAGCGGTTAGGAGCCAGTGGTCCCGGATTGCGAGGGATGTCCGACTGCCGGTGTAAGCCCGTTCCATGTGGGATTGAGCCTAAACCGGCAGTCGGACATCCCCCGAGGGGTCCCAGGTTGGAGAGGGTGCGGGCCGGGCTGAGGAACACCCCTCCGGTGCACAAATTCCATGCACCGGGCCACTAGTGTATATATCAAAGCCTAAGCGACCGAACAACCCAACAACCAGGCAACCGGTCACTATGACGTGCACTGACCACCAGGGGGCAGATGCTCAACACAGGAGCTGCCCCCTGGTGGTCAGCGCGCTCCCAGAGCCAACCTCCTACGGTCCCTCCCCCTGGCCGGCCGGCCCCATAGGCCCTGATCACTGGCCAGGCCGAGGGACCCCACTCGTGCACGAATCTGTGCACCGGGCCTCCAGTTATTAATAACGAGCTACAAGGTTCGCTAACGGCTGATGACTGTCATCGTGTTGCATTCATTTCCCTTCTGCGCCTTACGTCCAGGCGCACCGTCTCTCCCACTGACACCGGCAGCGAAGGTTCCGGCAGCCGGTGGCCGCGTCCTTGGTCTGGGACTGACCTGCTTGGTGTGGCAACAGGAAATACCTCGCTTCCGGAGAACGAGAGAAATAGGTTTATCTGTGTGACGCTTATCCATTTGTGCGGTTAGTGTCTGGTGAGTTCATGTTCAAGGAAAAGTATTAACTTTTATTAAAACGTTCTGTTACTTTATGTGAACAATGACTCGTTTATCTCAGCCCTTTGCATTCAGCACGGCTCCATCGAAACAAACCTGCGTTTCTATGAAAACGGAAGCTTTTGTCTTTTTGCGGCCACGTCCACGCAAACCGTGTTCATCTGGCCCGTGTCCGCCTCTGAGTGTGACACGCTTGGTCTAAGCCAGTGGACGGCAAACTCATTAGTCAACGGAGCCAAATGTCAACAGCACAAAGACTGAAATTTCCTTTGAGAGCCAGATTTTTTAAACTTAAACTATATAGGCAGGTACATTGTTATTCACTAAATTAGGGTCCTCCTAAGGCTTAGGAAGAGCCACACTCTGGCTAAGGGGCCAGAGAGCCACCTGTGGCTTGCGAGCCACGGTTTGCCGACCACGGGTCTAAGATATTCCAAAGCCCGGATCACGCCTGAGACCGGGGTGGGGAACGTCTGGCCCGAGGGCCGTATAAAGTCCCCTAAATCATACGCTGTGGCCCTGCCAAGGCATCAGGGGTGAGTTTATTAAAAGTTTGAGCAAATAGAGCTGGCTGATCTTTACGCTGATACTCTAGTGTGGCCCAAGAATCTACACTGATAAAAGGGAAATATGCTAATTAGACCGGATGTCTTCTGGATGTCATTCCGGACGTCCTTCCTGACAAAGCCGGGGCCCAGGCGAAGCCACCCGGGGTCCTGGGTGTCTGCCATCGGCCGGAGGAGGGAAGCCTGGGTCCCGGGTGCCGGAGGAAAGCCGGTGCCAGCAGCCGGGGGAAGGAAGGCCTACTCTTGCACGAATTTTCGTGCATTGGGCCTCTAGTGACGTTATCAATATCAAAATGGACCCAGCCAGTGGGGCTCAGTGGTTGACCTAGGAACCAGGAGGTCAGGGTTCGATTCCCAGTCGGGGCACAGGCCCGGGTTGTGGGCTCAATCCCCAGTGTGGGGCGTGCAGGAGGCAGCCGGTCCATGATTCTCTCTCGTCATTGATGTTTCTCTCTCTCTCAGTTGGGGCATTCTTGAATATTTTCAGTGGAAAATTCTCACGAAGAGTGGTTTTAAAGTTGGTCAGGGCTGCCACTTCGGGAAAACATTTTTTTAAAAAATATACTTTTATTGATTTCAGAGAGGAAGGGAGAGAAACATCAATGATGAGAATCACAGATCGGCTGCCTCCTGCACACCCTCTACTGGGGATCAAGCCCACAACCCGGGCATGTGCCCTTGACCAGGATTCAAACCCGGGACCCTTCAGTCCCTGGGACCCCTCCATCCACTGAGCCACATTTTTTTATAGACATGTGGGGAAGGTCCAAAGCTTGTGTCTACAGGCGCGTATGGCGTGCGACGGGTTAAAAGGGGTCCAGTGGGAAGCGTCTGACAATCTGAACGAACTCATGACTGGCCGGGACCCTATCGGCGAACGGCCTTGTGGCAGGGGCGGGGACACTGACCATGACCAGGGGCAGGAAGACTCGGCTCTGAGCCAAGAACCGTGCAGGCGGGCAGACGGACGGGGCTGAACAAACACCACCATCAAAGGTGATAAGACTCAGCCCTGGCTGGTGTGGCTCAGTGGATAGAGCGTCGGCCTATGGACCGATGCCGGGAGCCGGTCCATGCTTGCTGTTTCAAGGGACCTGGCATACATGGCATATTGTTCTTAATATCTTTGCTCACCTTCTTGGCACTATGTGTTTTAACCAAGGTCACTGAGAAAGGTTTCCCCAGGTAGGGATTTTCCCCTGAAGTTAGGGAGGGAATAAAACCCCTTAACTAAGTGCCAGGCGGGTAATTAATCACTTTAACTACGAACAATCATGCTTAAGCTACATAATCTTTACTCCCTGGAATGGAGATAAGAAACACCCTAACCTTTGGAATAGAGATTGATAGGATTGGAATCAACTGGTATAAATACAGATGTAACAAGACAACAGGACACAGAACCTAGACACAGAACCTAGACACAGAACCTAGACACAGAACCTAGAGACAGAACCTACACAGACCTAGAGACAGAAGAACTTCGCTGGAGAGAACATGGCAAAAGATCCTGGCCAGAAACTGGCCACAGAACCTAGAGACAGAACCTAGAGACAGAACCTGGCTGAAGAACCTAGAGACAGAACATGGCAAGAGAACCTGACTAGAACCTGGTGACTGAACCACGCTGGAGAACCTGGACAGAACCTGGCTGGAGAACCTGGAGAACCTAGCAAGAGAACATGGACACAGAACCTGGCTGGAGATCCTAACCAGAACTTCGCTGGAGAACCTAACCAGAACTTTGCTGGAGATCCTGGCTAGAGATCCTGGCTAGGCTGCTGATCAACTGAACGCTGTCTCCGTGTCATTCCTTCTTCGCCGACTCCGTCCACACCTTTGGGGACCCCTGGACCCGCTGGGGTTGGACCCAAGCAGACCGAAGGGTCCCAGGTTCGATTCCGGTCAAGGACACGGGTTACTTCAGCTGCAGGCTCCTCCCCGGCCCGGGCCCTGGTCGGGGGCGCGTGCAGGAGGCAACCCATCGATGGGTCTCTCTCACATCGATGTTTCTCTCTGCCTCTCCCCCTCCCTCCCCCTCTCCCTAAGAGTCAATGGAGAAACATCCCCGGGGGAGGATCAACAACACACAACAGAGCAGATGGCAGCGGTCAGACGCCGGCCCAGCCACTGAGGGGGGACACCCATGGTTCTAGACCTGCGGTTCTCAACCTGGGGGTCGCGACCCCTTTGGGGGCCGAACGACCCTTTCACAGGGGTCGCCTCAGACCATCGGAAAGCACATCTATAATTGCATATTGTTTCTGTGGTTCATCACTATGCTTTCATGATGTTCAATGTGTAACCATGAAAATGCATCCTGCATATCAGGTATTTACATGACGATTCATCACAGCAGCAACATGACAGCGATGAAGCAGCCACGGAAATAACGTTATGGTCGGGGGTCCCCACAGCATGAGGAGCCGTATGAAAGGGTCGCGGCGTGAGGAAGGTTGAGAACCGCTGCCCTAGACCCAGAGGGAGCCCACGATGACACACAGGGAGGGTGTGAGCAGGACCGGACGGGGCAGCGAGCACGCACGTGTGTGGGGGACGGAGTGACCCGGCCCCGGGTGTGACGCGTGTCTGCAGGCCCCCGCTCCCAGCTCCCTCTGCTCCCAGCCCAGCCTCGCCTTCTCCCAGAGCGAGCACCGGGCCCCGGACCCCGTCCTGAGCCCACGGGAGCCCGGGCGCGGCCCCCAGACCCGCGGGCCGCCCCCCCCCCGCACCCCGCTCCCCCCGGCACCATGCCGGGCCCTCGAGGGGGCGAGACGGGCCGAGCGAGGGGCGCCTCTCACCTGCAGCCGGCCGATGGCCACCAGGCAGTACTTGCTGCCCTGTCCCACCTCGGCATCCTCCTCGGGGATGGTCATTCCTGGAACGGGAGAGGCGGGCGTCAGGCACACGGGCGCCCCGGGCGGACGGAGAGGGGGCGAAGGTGCCCCGTGATTTCGCTCCGGCCATCGGAACGCGGGTCCAGGGCTGGCCTCTCGGGGCCGGTGTGTGAGCCGGACAGCCAGCCCCCCCCCCTCCCCCCCTCTCTACCTGGGATCTTTATTTATTTTTTATGTATTTTATTGTGTGGTTTTTTTTTACAGAGAGGAAGGGAGAGGGATAGAGAGTTAGAAACATCGATGAGAGAGAAGCATCCATCAGCTGCCTCCTGCACGCCCCGCACTGGGGATGTGCCCGCAACCCAGGTCCGTGCCCTTGACCGGAATCGAACCCGGGACCCTTCGGTCCGCAGGCCGACGCTCTATCCACTGAACCACATCGGTCAGGGCTCTTTATTTTTTTTAAATATATTTTTATTGATTTCAGAGTTGGGAGGAGGGGGATGGACATCCATGATGAGAGAGAATCACGGATCGGCTGCCTCCTGCACGCCCCACACTGGGGACCGAGCCCACAACCCGGGCCTGTGCCCTGACCGGGAATCGAACCCTGACCTCCTGGTTTATAGGTCGACGCTCGGCCCCTGAGCCCCGCCGGCCGGGCTGCCCGCCGTCTTTCGATAACTTCGCGGTGCCTGTCGCCTGCACGTGTGGGCGAGGACGCAGAGGAGGCTGAGGAAGATGAAATGCGAGCGATTCCTTTACGCATTTGCAAAACCGGCCGGAAGGCCAGGTCAGAGTGCGGCCGGGAGGTCGGCCACGTGTGACCCGGTTTCTGAGCACCTACTAAGCGCCCGGCCGACTTTCTGCTGGGGACCAGGGCCTTTGCCGTGGCAGGGATCCAGCGCCCCCCCCCCCGGGGGGCTCACGGCGGGCGGGGGAGGGACTGTCAGGATGCCATCTGGTTAGTGTTAGGGCCGGGGAGGGGCGCGCGGCCAGGGCCGGACGCCAGGGCCCGGAGGGCCGGGCCGGGAGGGGCCGCTTCCTGGCAGGGACGGGGCTTATCTGAGCGGTTTTTAATAGGAACACGAGCCCTCTGGCCATGGGAGCGAGATTGCGACGATTCCCCGGTGGGTCTCCCAAGCCCCGTGGGCCCTTCCTTAAACCACCTTTGCTTGGGGCCGGAATAAACCTAAGTAAGACACACACACACCAAGTGGAACTAGAAACTGCTATTCGGGAGGGAATTCAGCACCAGCCAGAAACGCTTCTCAGGCCCTGGCCAGTGCGGCTCAGTGGATAGAGCCTCGGCCTGCAGACTGAAGGGTCCCGGGTTCGATTCCGGCCAAGGGCACGGACTGGGGTTGCAGGTTCCCCAGCGCCGGTCAGGGCGCGTGCAGGAGGCAACCAATAGGTGTGTCTCTCTCATATCGATGTTTCTGTCTGTCTCTCCCTAAAAATCAATGAACCGGTGTGGCTCAGTGGATAGAGCATCGGCCTGCAGACTCAAGGGTCCCGGGTTCGATTCCGGTCAAGGGCATGGACCTGGGTTGCGGGCACATCCCCAGTAGGGAGTGTGCAGGAGGCAGCTGATCGATGTTTCTCTCATCGATGTTTCTAACTCTCTCTCCCTCTCCCTTCCTCTCTGTAAGAAATCAATGAAATATATATTTTCAAAAAAAATCAATGGACAACTATCCTTGGGTGAGGATCAAAAAATAAAAGAAGAAGAAGAAAGAAAGAAGGGTTTCTCGGAGCCTCACACGGGGTCGCCCGGGGGGAGTCTAACCCGGGACTCACATCCTCACATGGGAATGAAGACACATTTTCCCCCGATTCCGCCAAGTGGGAAAAACTCCACCTCCGCCACGAGGAATCCAGGCCACTGGTCCCCAGCACCCGCCCAGCGTCCTCTCTGGGGATCGCAATCATTTTAGGAAAAAAAAAAAAAGTTTCTTTGGCCAAATGCGTTTGGGAAGCACAGTTTAAACAATAATAGAGAGGGAACTGTGGCTCAGGGGTGAGCGTCGACCTGTGAACCAGGAGGTCAGGGTTCGAGTCCCGCTCAGGGCACAGGCCCGGGTTGTGGGCTCGATCCCCAGTGGGGGCCGTGCAGGAGGCGGCCGGTCCATGATTCTCTCTCATCATTGATGTTTCTCTCTCTCTCTCTCTCTCCCTTCCTCTCTGACATCAATAAAAATAGATTAAAAATAAATCCTTTCAAAGACCGAGCAAGACCCTACTGCACCCCACCATCATTTTCCGGAACAATCTGAATCAGAGAGGAAGGGAGAGGGAGAGAGACAGAGAGAAACATCCATGATGAGAGAGAATCATGGACCGGCCGCCTCCTGCACGCCCCCCACTGGGGATGGAGTCCCCCCTGGGAATCGAACCGTGACCTCCTGGTTCATAGGGCGACCAGACACTCAACCACTGAGCCACACCGGCTGGGCGCCAGCATTCTCTTTTAAAAAGCAAACGTCAACATCTTGCCCTGGCCGGTGTGGCTCAGTGGATAGAGCGTCGGCCTGCGGACAGAAGGGTCCCGGGTTCGATTCCGGTCCAGGGCACAGGCCCGGGTTGCGGGCTCCGTTCCCAGTGGGGGGCGTGCAGGAGGCGGCCGATCCGTGATTCTCTCTCATCATGGATGTTTCTCTCTCTCTATCCCTCTCCCTTCCTCTCTGACATCAATAAAAAATATATAAAAAAATAAAATCGTTTAAAAAAGAAAGAAGTGTCACTGCCCCCCGGCCGGCGTGGCTCCGTGGCTGAGCGTCGACCTACGAACCAGGAGGTCACGGTTCGGTTCCCGGTCAGGAAGTGATGCTTCTACCTCTTTCTCTCTCTCCCTTCCTCTCTGAAATCAACTTTAAAAATAGTGTCATTGCTAAAAAAAAAATTAAACAGGAACCCTGAAGAGCAGGTTGCGATTGAGCAACTCTCCAGGGATTTGTAAGAAAAGAACCAGGATATTGGAGCCAAACTGTCCGTGGCAGGAACAACAGATCCGAGAAATCGAGAACGGGCTCCCGGGGCGAGCGGAGCCGGCTGGGGACAAATCCACCCCCCCCCCCCGGCCACCCCCCTGCACAGAGGGGCCTGAGCCTGCCCACAGGGGCCCGGCCCAGCACCGGGTAAGATGCACGCAAACAGGTCCTGGCTGGTGTGGCTCAGTGGGCAGAGCGTCGGCCTGCAGACTGAGGGGTCCCGGGTTCGATTCCGGTCAGGGGCAGGTGCCCGGGTGGCGGGCTTGATCCCCAGCGGGGGGTGTTCAGGAGGCAGCCGATCCATGATTCTCTCTCATCACGGATGCTTCCATCTCTCTCCTTCTCCCTTCCTCTCTGAGATCAATAAAAAAAAAAAAATGCGTGAACACAGACCCAGCCTATACCTCCCTGAGGGAACCTCTGAACTCCCAGGATAAACTCCACACGACCCACGAGGGTCGCGGAGGGAGGAAAGGAAAAGGAAGCTGGTCTCGGCTCCCGGCTCCCCCCCAGCACGGGCCTCTGGGGGTGTCTTGGGCGCTCTTCTTCTTCTTTTAGGGGTTCTTCTTTTGACTCACACTCTCCACGGCGCTGACGGAGAACCCCTCGCCCAAGGGCCCTCCTGCTGCCACACAAGAGCCTCCTCAATGTTGGAGGGACCACAAGGTGAAGCACCCATTCACCTCCTTTTTATATAAATACTAGAGGCCCAGTGCACAAAATTCGTGCATGGGGGAGGGGGGCCCCTCAGCCCGGCCTGTGCCCTCTCGCAGTCCGGGAGCCCTCGGGGGATGTCCGCCTGATGGCGTAGGCCCGCTCCCCTAAGCTGGCAGTCAGACATCCTGAGCGCTGCCATGGAGGCGGGAGAGGCTCCCGCCACCGCCGATGGGCTGGCCAGCCGTGAGCCCAGTGTTAAGTGTCTGCCCCCTGGTGGTCAGTGCACGTCATAGCGACCGGTCGTTTCGCTGTTTAGGTCGATTTGCATATTAGCCTTTTATTATATAGGATGTTTTGTTTTTTGTTTCTATTTCAGAGAGGGGGATAGAAACATCAATGATGAGAGAGAATTGGTGATCGGCTGCCTCCTGCACGCCCCGCGCTGGGATCGAGCCCGCCACCCGGGCCTGTGCCCTGACCGGGAATCGAACCCTGACCTCCTGGTTCGTAGGTTGATGCTCAGCCACGGAGCCACGCCAGCCGGGTGAGGAAGGATTTTTTCAACCTGCAAATTCCTGCCTCTTGTGTACGTTTGTGCTTCAGCTCCGATGTTACTCTGCCTGTCAGGTTCTCAGGGACGGTGTCGGCCAGAGTGTGGGAGGGAGACGCCCACCGGGACCCTCCCAGCTCACGGAGGCTCCTGCCTGCGTGCTCCCCTGAGTGCGTGCCTGCGCTCTGCCCCTGACCCAGGGCTCAGCAATGACCTGCACGCCTCCCCGTCTCCTCCAGTGGGTGGTGAGCTCCCTGCGGGCGGGCACCAGGCCAGACTCGCTCTCAAATCCCTTGAGCCTGGGAAGTACCTGGGCCCCGGCAGGTGCTCACAAGTGTTTACGGAAGGAAACGTGAGCCTGGGCTGGTGTGGCTCAGTGGCTGAGCGTCGGCCTATGAACCGGGAGGTCAGGGTTTGATTCCCGCTCAGGGCACAGGCCCGGGTTGCGGGCTCCATCCCCAGTGTGGGGCGTGCAGGAGGCGGCCAATCCATGGTTCTCCCCCATCACTGATGTTTCTTTTATTTTTAAATATATTTTTATTGATTTCAGAGAGGAAGGGAGAGGGAGAGAGAGAGAGAGAAACACCTGTCATGAGAGAATCACGGACCGGCTGCCTCCTGCACGCCCCACACTGGGGATGGAGCCCGCACCCGGGCCTGTGCCCTGACCGGAATCGAACCTGGGACCCTTCAGTCCGCAGGCTGATGCTCTATCCACTGAGCCACTCCAGCCAGGGCTCATCACTGATGTTTCTCTCTCCCTCTCTCTGAAACCAATAAAAATATATATTAAAAAGGGGGGGGGGACGTTAGCATGGCATCGCCCTGCCTGAGAACAGGGGGT